AAGAGTGTTAGGTTCTGAAGAAGAGGAGAAGGGTCTAATAACGAATGGAACAGCGAAAACGGATTCTCACATTCCGTGTGAGAATAAATCGAAAGCCCCTTCATATGATCAGATAAGAAGCTCTAGGAAAAGGAAAGCAGTTAACACAAGGGCCGGGGATTTCTCTAACAAGAGATCTGTCAGAACGAAAACGGTATCAAACATAGTCAGCTTGCCAGACCTTAGGAACAGACCCGTTTGTGTTCACTCTGCCATCGGTGTTGGAACTAATGCTAGGTTGTTTCCTGCTATGGAGATGTCGAGCTTAGTGAGTAAAAAGAGCGTAAACTATGGGATGAGTCTTTCGAGGGATGATGATCCTACAATGTCTTACAATCCGTTCAACGGACCTAATCGTCCCGGGGGTGCTACCCCTCAGTTTCACGTCTTCCCGCTACCGTATTTCATATGGCAGTATGTCTTAATTAGCTCCTATTCTGTTTTCTATGCATAAACCATGAAGAAGTATCTTACCCTTTCTGTAATTTTTTTATCAGGGGAAGATTCAAGCTACAAAGGAATGGGGTATTTTCGGGTTTCTGCGAGGGGATTCAGGCTCATTTATCGCGATCAGCATCACAGAACACGGTAGCATTATCCCCGGCATTCTCTCGGGAGATATTAATTGAGGAAACACCGAGATCAGCCATGTGGACGACTCAGTTCACGGAAAATCAAGCAGCTGCAAAGAACATCCACATATACTTCTTTTCAAAAGATCCGAACAGGTTGATTTCTCGTTCTCCCATGTTCATGGATGGTCGGTCTGCCTTTTTCTTCCGCATAATCTGGATCTCGGTTTTCTTAACTCAAGTTTCCTTTTGCAGGCTCGAATGTGGCTACAAGAACTTACTGCAGCACATGATTATGAACGATGTATGTCTCAGGGGAAAGGTTGGCGGGTTTGAGCTTTTGATCTTCTCATCCGACAAACTCGAGGACGGTTTTCAGCGTAATATATTACCTTCTTTTCTCATTTTCATCAATCATCCGAAGAAAAAAGTAGCATCCTTTCGAATTGTTTTTTTTTTGGGGTAAGGAGATGGTGTTTTTGTTGCAGGTTGGAATGGCGTCCCCTTTCTATGGGGTGTGTTCAGGGAACCGAAACCGATATCCATTGGAAGTTCCAGAGCAAATGGGTATCATCAAGAATGCAACTCCGAGCTCAACCGTGCCCAGATCCCGCAAGCTCCATTCGAATCCCGGCTCGTTAACTTCTTCCAGGTTAACATGAACAAACCAGTTCATAGAATGGATTCGTTCAGATGTATGACGTATTTTTCACAGGGGTTTGTTTACATTCTTGTGGCAGATGGCGAGAAGAACATTTGAAGAAGGTTCGAACTTGTCATGCAACCTGTCCCTCGGAAATTCCGAAGCCGCAGCCCCGAATCTGGAGCTATCTTTAGGGGTAGGAGGAGCTCCTGCTTCTGCTTCAAGAAACATCATCGGGGAGGAACCCTCCTCGTCGGCTGTCTCTTCAAGGAACCCTAACTGTAGCTTCCGGTCTATACCCTTCCTCACCAGCTACCCTTTCCGCATCGATCCATCCGTTACGACAGAACAACCAGACTTAGAGGAGATGCCGCGCGTGGACACTACTCTCTCCCTCTGACAATGCTCTTCTCCTTTTCACATATAGATTTATGCACAAATACAGCGGTGGGATAAAAGAAAAATGATACAAAGAGTCCGTAATAGTTTTTCTATTTCTTTACAGAAAGGGAACATTTCTTTTTCTTTTCTTTTTTTTTTGGCAAAGTTATTATATGATGAAGAAGAAGAAGAAGGTTGAGGAAAGTTATAAAGTTAATCATGATCATCATTCGTTCATTGTTGTAATAAGGAGTAACTTGTCATGATGGAAGAATCCGAACGCGGTTTTAAGGGCCATACTTGCCGCCGGGTCCTCCATAAGCAAACATCTGACCTAACCAACCAATCATATATAGGAGAATAACAATAATTATGAGACAGAGATCGGATCAAAGCTAAGGCAAAAGATTGGAAGAGACATAACTGGCCAACAGAACTGAATGATGTTACGTAGAGATTCAGGTCCGGTTTCTAACGAAATGAGGGCTCTGCTGTATTGGTCATCCCTCACGTCTCTCAGGACATGAACACTCATCCACGCACCAGCTCCGTAATATGTCGTCCCATTATGCTCCGCCGTTTCAAGACCCGCAAACTAAAGAGAAATATCGTTATCGTGTTACGTATGAAATATTATGGAACCGATTTTTTCGATATATTTTTTTTAAATTCATAGATCGAACTTACGTCATGGCCAGACACTACAAAAAAACAGTCATTTAGCAACGAAATTGCGTTGCAAATCCAATTAGCAACGAAAATTCGTTGCAAAAGGCGTGAAAACCATAATTAATCGCAGCCACAAATTTATTTTAAATAAATTTGTAACGCAATTTCGTTGCAAATTTGCAGCGAAATTGCGTTGCAAAACCAAATAGCAACGAAATTGCGTTGCAAATTTATATATTTACTTTTTGACAGTCAAATCATATTAATTATTAAATAATAATTTTTGCAACGAAATTATTTTGTTGCAAAAAGCGTTGCAAAAAGAAATTCGTTGCTAATCGTCATTGATTTTAAAGAAATAATTTTGAAACGATTTTGCAACGCTTTGCAACGCAAATATTGCGTTGCAAATTAGCAACGAAATTATTGCCTTGCAAAGCGTTGCTAATTGCAACAAAAAAAATTTCGTTGCTAAAGCGTTGCAAAATCGTTTTCATTAAAAAAAACGTTGCAATTTCGTTGCTAACTTTGCAACGAAATGCATTTCGTTGCTAATTTCGTTGCTAATGGCATGTTTTTTTGTAATGAGGGTAATCGGGTGACATGACATCGTTGCTTGGGTTTCCAGTTCCCACCTTTTGAATCGGCACTTCACCTTCCGAACATAGAGTCTTCAGTTCTTCGTAACTCGACCTGCTGAACTCTCTCGCGGCGTCTTTGGACAGTATCTTCGTCTCACAGCTTCACTCGGTCTCGTCTGCCAATATATATGAAAAAACTATCACATAGTATATGATTCTATATATAAGCAAATGTGGTGATATTGGAACTACATAACCAAATTTATTATGAATACATGGATTTTGTGGTCTGTCAGTAATGGACGGTGGAAAGCGGGTTGTTTGTATATGTCAACGCACTCGAAATCGGCTTCTTGAGGCTGCGATTAATCAAATGTGTGAGCACATATATAATATATAGTAATATTGTATTTCTTTATTTTAATATTTAATTACTGCAACATTTTGTACGTTTTAATTGAAATCTACCGGGACCGATCCATGAGTCCCATGGAAACCGAGACGAGCCATCGAGAAAATCGCCGACCAAAGCAGAACCATTTCGCTGATTCTTCTGTTCTTCTTCGCCTTAAGATTCTGCATGCATATATGTATATGCATGTACATACACATCAATATATATGTATGTATACGTCGGTGTGTAATGTAGATGATTTCGGTTGATTTTATGGGGTATGAAATGACAAATTATATTTAATTTATTTTTGGTTAGGGTGCGATCTACCAACATTAATGCACCGGATTCCATCAGAATTATGTAGTTAAGCGTATTTTTGTGCGAGAGTGATACTACGGTGGGTGACTTCATGGGAAATCCTCGTGTTGCACCCCTTTTCGTTTGAAAATACATTGTTTCGCGACATTGATAAATCCCTTTGACGGAAAATAACAGTCATTAGACTATCTAAACCGGCTTTGGCGAGTGAGTTGCTACGACTTTAGCTTAGCAATGACTAAATATCTTTACGAGCATTTCCATTGAGAATTTATTTTCTATTGTTGTGTAGTTGTATCTATATCTAAAGACCTTCTGTTTTATTAATGCAAACACCTTTAACAAAAAAAAAACATGTATATGTTCAATGACAAATGGTGCGTCTAATTGCGTGTGAAATTAAGAAAAGAGATTTTGAAACTAATGATGAAAGAAGAAAGGGGGGAGGGGCGTCTAATTGCGTGTGTTTTAGAGTTGATTTGTCCTTGTTCCGTGAACATTGGACTAATCTAAATACTGTAATTTCTTGCTTAGAAACAAACCATGGCTCAAGGAAAATCATTTAGTTAATCAATTTCCCTTTTACACCAAGAACAAAAAAACAGTTTAATCGACTTTTTTTTTTTAATCTTTTTATATTTGGCCTGATTGGATGGGTGACATCGACTTGGGTTTTAACCAATTTAGTCATCATTCATTCAACCAACGGATTTATATTATAACTTTAAAAAAATGTGGAAAATCGATTTAGAAAACAAATTCTATTCTTAAAAAAAGAAGACAACTCTCTCTAATTGTATAGAAGGCAAAGACAAAATTCTCTTTATAGAGAAGAATTCTCTGCTTTATTATCTTCAGCTATCAAATATTATTTTAACCTACTTTAGCAAAAAAAATATTATTTTAACGCACAAACAGCAAATAAAGTAAAAAAAAAAGTACATGAACTGTCCTTGCAAGACTGTTAAGTTAAGACCCTGAAAGAGACCGGCCGCCTCACCTCCCGCCGTCACCAAACATTAAATTCCCTCTTTTTTATTTGAAGTTTGCAAAGTTTCTTCTCTCTGGAGGGGTGCGCAGTTGGTTCAAATTCTGCCCACTTGAATTCTCTTTTTAAATCTGATTCTTTTGAGGTTTTCTGATTCTGGCCCGTGATTTTGCATCGGGGAGAAGCTTCACTTTCTCGGACCCTTTCGATCTCGTGTCATTATCTCCAAATATCTCTGGTAAGGAAGTCTATTCAGATTCGAAACTTTTTCTGGATTCCGGTTCGATTTTGGGCCCATTCCTCGCGATTTTGATGTCCTTCCGACTATACATCGTTGATTACGCCAGTGACTCGTTTGCATCGCAGTTGCTGATCGTGATTAGTGTCCGTGGTTATGGGGAATAAAGGTTCCAACTTTCTCGGGAAAATGGCCTCCCTCCGGTTTTCTGGAGAAAATCCCAACTGGGTTTCCGGAGAAATTCTGATTGTTTCGGATTCTGGTGAATGAAATTTCGTCAGGTTTCTTATCTGACGGGATTCTCTTACCCATTGTTGTATAGTTCTAAAGGCTCTCTGTTCAATGCGTTGTGCTGAACTCAGTCATATGCGTATAGTTTCATGACCGTAACCCTTCAGGAATAAAAACAAAAGAACCCACTTTCCTGTAACACGACGTTAATCTACAGAAGATGGTATACTGTTGTTGATTCTGGTATTGTCAAGCACAATGTTGGTTGTTAAACTTCTACCTAGGGGATACTTCTGTTTATCGATTCATTTTCTGGTGAATCTCTCCTTTGTTGAGATGCTTATATGATCCATATGATGTATGTCTTCTGCAAGATGGCGGACGCTGCAAAGGATTTGGCTTCGGGGACGGTTGGAGGAGCTGCCCAACTGATAGTAGGACACCCCTTTGACACCATCAAGGTCAAGCTTCAAAGCCAGCCGGCTCCAGCCCTGGGGCAGCTTCCCAAGTACGCCGGTGCCATTGACGCGGTCAAACAGACCATCGCATCTGAAGGGCCGAGGGGTCTCTACAAGGGTATGGGGGCCCCACTTGCTACGGTGGCTGCCTTCAATGCGGTCCTGTTCACTGTCAGAGGGCAGATGGAGGCATTGCTCAGGTCTGAACCTGGAGTCCCTCTCACCATTGGTCAACAAGCCTTGTGTGGTGCCGGTGCTGGAGTTGCTGTTTCGTTTCTTGCTTGCCCCACAGAATTGATCAAGTGCAGGTTAGCTCTTATCTTGGCCAGTTTAGATGTGTAAATGATTATGCTTTGCTCAAAGAATCTGCATATATATATACATATATATATATATGTATATGTGCTTGATGTAAACTTATTAATCTGTTTCTTTGAAAAAATTCTGAGAAATGCCCCTAGATGTAAGCTTCCTGATTGAATTGTGATTTGTGTTCTGTCAAAAAACCAGGTTGCAAGCACAAAGCGGAGTAGCCAGCTCAGGCGGAGGCTCAGTGGCAGTAGCCGTCAAATACGGTGGGCCAATGGATGTAGCCCGGCAGGTCCTCCAGACAGAAGGTGGAGGCCGAGGTCTCTTCAAGGGCTTGGTCCCAACATTAGCCCGTGAGGTCCCGGGAAACGCAGCCTGTTTTGGAGTGTACGAAGCCTTGAAGCGTTTCCTAGCGGGAGGAAAAGACACATCAAGCTTAGGAAAAGGGTCACTTATGCTGGCTGGTGGTTTGGGAGGAGCTGCTTTCTGGGTATTTGTCTACCCGACAGATGTGGTGAAGAGTGTGATCCAAGTCGATGATCATAAGAACCCGAAATACTCTGGTTCCATTGACGCCTTCCGGAAGATTCTGAGGGCCGAGGGAGTGAAGGGTCTTTACAAAGGGTTCGGACCTGCGATGGCCAGGAGTGTCCCTGCCAATGCAGCTTGCTTCTTGGTCTATGAGATGACACGGTCCAGCTTGGGATAAACCGGTTTTCTCTCCCCCCGCCCTTGCTTAACCATTTGGTTCTTGATGAGCCGAGTGCCTTTGTCCTCTTGGTTTTGTCGGTTTAGATGAGAAATTGAGCAATAAAAAGTCGGTTAGGTTTTGGTTTAGACGATCCATTCTCTTTCTGCAAACTCTCTCTGTATTCCTTTGAATGAGCCGGTTAACCGAATTGTTGTGGGCAGTCTGTTTTCTTATAAAGTGTATTAGGTGGGTTGCAGAAGCATAAACTGGGCTCGGATGGGCTGGAATTGGAATGAGACGTATATTCCAATATTCCATCGTAAGTTGGTATTTACAAATCGCCCAGCAGAGATTCCTTCAGTACAGATTTTCCAATAAACATTTCACAATTATTGGAATCATGTCTCGTATTGACTCTTTCATCCTTCATTTGTCTTTTTTCTTTTATCCATGAAATAATATATGTGTGTGTGTGGAACGTTTATTAGTGAAGGCATTTCGACTCATTAGTTATCATTAGAATATATTCTCCTCCACATTTTTAATATTAAATAACTGCCGACAAGAAATCTTGTGCTGTTTGCGGTAACTTCTTCTAGAATTGGTATTCCCGTTTGTTTATTGCCTATTACAAATACCGAAAAAAGTAAATAAATGAATCTCTACATTTTTTTTTTAGAGAATAAATCAATATTTTCAAAAGGGCGTGAATAAAATTTTAATAAGATATCATATTTTCAAAGGGCGTGAATATATATATATATATAAACACGAGTTGACTCAGATGAGGGATAAAAGAGAAGGCCCAACTCCATTAGGACCCAGGGCTTATTCTTTGAACCCACCCACCTCTTCAATTAATTTCATTTTCTTTTATTACTTTTTATTATTCTTTTGTATGGAATTCCACTTTTACCCTTTCTTCCTCCCTCCAAAACGACCACCCCAAGCAGCACTCTCTCTCTCCCCCTCTCATACATTTAAATAACGAAGGATCGCCGGAGAAGGGGTTAAATCCACTTCAATGGCGGATCAACAACCACTCCCAGACGAAACCCACCACAACACAATCCATCACCTAGCCATGCCTCCCGGGTTGACCCGCGACGAGTTCACCGAGCTGGCTCACTCCATCTCCGAGTTCCACACCTACCGACTCGGCCCCGGGCGCTGCTCCTCCCTCCTCGCCAAGCGAGTCCATGCGCCGCCGGATATAGTGTGGTCCGTTGTTCGGCGCTTCGACAAGCCCCAGACGTACAAGCACTTCATCAAGAGCTGCGTGGTGGGGGAAGGGTTCGAGATGCGCGTGGGATGCACGCGCGACGTGGACGTGATAAGCGGGCTCCCGGCGAACACGTCGACGGAGCGGCTAGACCTCCTGGACGAGGAGCGGTGGGTGACGGGATTCAGCATCATCGGAGGAGAGCACAGGCTCCGCAACTACCGATCCGTCACGACGGTGCACGGCTTCCACCGCGGCGGCCGGATCTGGACAGTGGTTCTGGAATCGTACGTGGTGGATGTGCCGGAGGGAAACACGGAGGAGGACACGAGGCTCTTCGCCGACACCGTCATCAAGCTCAATCTCCAGAAACTCGCCTCCATCACCGAATCCATGGCTCCTCGCTCGGCCGAAGCTGCCGATTATCCGGTGGTGTGCGAGAGAGAGAGAGGAACGATCAATTTGTAAACTTTGCTGTTTGAGGGTCACATCTTTTTCCACTACGGTTCTTTCTTCCGCACTTCGAAATTCGAACGATCAAAGGGAAAAGGGTATTTTGGACATTATTATCATGGGGGACACGGTGAAACGAGGTTGAGGTTGGGGATAGGATGGCAAAAAGGAAATTAAAACAAGTAGCTTAGCTGTATTCCCAAATTTAGCCCTATGTTTCGTGGACGCATTCATCGTCGTATCAATTCCATGACTACAGACTATATAATATACGCATAGGATGTTTAACAGATCGACCATCCTTCCATTTTCAGCAAAGGGTTTAAAAGTGTGCGCCGTTTTACCCAAAAAGAAAAAAAACAAGAAAACAGAAGATGAAGCCACCCTGTGAGATCTGGGACCCTCCACATCACTATAAAGTGCATACATACACATGTCGATTTCTTTTTTCTTTCGAGAGGGTAGCCTGTCGACTTCTATTACCACTACTACTCTCTGTTTCAGAACAAATATAATATAATATAAGCTCAATTCTTTAGAAACTAATAATACGTCAATTTTTGTAGTCACGGCACCATGAATTCTCCATCTCGATAATACATTCTATTCGATTTGACAAACTATAAAAAGTGAAATGGGAAATTTCATAAATTACACTTCTCGCAAGGTATGCCTCTCTCCCCATTTGGATAAGTGACGCTGCAAGTTGCCAACTTGATCAATCATGGAAGACAGAAATTGGTAAAATAAGTAAATTATTTTTCTGAAATTAAATTAAGTGAAAAAAAACGAAAAGGGTATATGAAACAAATTTATTTTCCTCTTCTCTCTCTCTCTCTCTTCCATTTATCAACGAGGAACAAAGCTACAAAGACGGTCTAAATCCATCCTTCACGAACACAAACATTCAACCGATATCAATGACGGTATATTGGAGTATTTTTCTTGAATGTAATGGAAGTTTGTTTCAAGTTGCTTCTATATTAAGTTATACTATTCTAGTTATATATATATAAACATAAAAGTGAATTGTGTGCACACCATATATATGAAAGATTTCATAACTTGACAATATTAGAATTAAAGTTTAGAAAATTGCAAGTGTTATACATTGTCTTGTAACTTATGACGTTACATTATCATCAGGCATGTTACAGATTTCCACCTAAGATCAGATATATCACATAACACAAAACAAGAAAGTAACAATTAAAGTTTAAAGGGAAAATGGATTAAGGAGTCCTCCCATGATGGGCTGAGTAAAGGAAAAAAGAGGCCACTTGACGTCGGAGATTGAGGGCCGCCCGCCAAAAACCGCGGCGAGAACAATGGGTTGGTTTGATGGGGTTGAAAAAAAACCCGGATTGAACCGGGGTTTTGTTCGGGAGTTTGAGTTTGGTTTTGAAAAAGACTCGGTTCGGTTAGGTAACGTATGTCCATATACGTATCACTAAGTATATTTTAAACCCATATATATATATATATATATATATATATTTTTGAGAGATGATAAATACACTCATCGTTCAGTGGGGTCCTTGAAACTCCAGTCCCTTCGCATGCCAAAGGATCTGACGAGCCTGCGTTCGATGGGGATGCTCTTCTTCATCTTCTTGAATATATGCATCGTTTAGTGATTCGTTTGCTTCCGCAGTTGTTGATCATGCTTACTTACTGTTTTTGGTTCTGGGGAATAAAGGTTCCAACTTTCTGGGGAAAATGGCATTTCTGGAGGAAATTTTTCGGTTTCTGGAGAAAATCCCAACTGGGTTTCTGATATGTTTTTATGGCGTTACATGAAACAAATCGCAGCATAATGTATATAGTATTTGTATACACAACATTGCGAATGTATTTGCATGCATGCTTGTGTTGTTTTGTACATGTAGATAAGATATGTAAACTTATATAAGAGATATTAATAGCAAAAGGGCTTGACAGTGGATCCCTAAAATAAAAAACTTCGACCCGCCCAAGCATATTCTTAAAAGGAGGTAACTTTTTACGTTGCCATCTTTGATCTTTCGAATTATTCATATTATAATAAATCTTGGGGTGTGACCCTTTCTCATTTTGGTGCGTCTCCATCACACATTATTATGGCTCAACGAAAGCACTAGCGCTTCTGATTTCTTCTTATCAAAACGTGGAAATAATTTGTTTTGGCATGATTAAATTGTTTCCCAAGTGACCCCACGATTCTAAAAGGACAAACGGCACGATCCCACGTATTTCCTTTTTCATTTTTGTCGTCACGTTTATGATTCAGTGAACCATCAATATCTGTTCATCGTTTGTTATCATATATTATATGCATCCAATGATCCACGAGAGCTCAGAATTCGTGACCCTTTTACGCACCCAAGAAAGCGAATCAAGGGAGATTTCACCACATAAGTTGTTTATTCTTCCTAAAAAGCCATACCGATTCACACGTAGTTACACTAATTAATTACTAGAGAGGGGCAACAGAACACAACCAAAGGCTTCGTTCACTAAGATCCGAGATCATCATTCAATGCCCCATTAAAACCCGAACTAGAAACTCTCCTAATGAACAACAAGCGGGTACTGCAAAATGGATACTTACAACTACTATACATTAGATGATGTTGTGAAAAGATCAAAGCATTATTACCCTCTAGAGATATGATCTGCTTCCACTTACCATCTCCTACGAGATTTTGAGGGTTTCACGAGACTTTTGCCATTAGAGCCGTCTTTAGCTGATCCTGCGTGAAAAACCGGCTCCCCATTTTCACGGTGGCTTGCTCGATCATGAAATCATTCACCACAGAGAGACTGGCATGGTTCACTTCCAAGTCCAACTCTTTGAGGGCTTCCATGAATTTAGCACCCGGGTGGTTCTTCTTGCTGCACTGTATCCGTATCATCACGTCCCAACCTATGATCTTCACGTCAATTTCCGTTTCTACGGACGGACCCGAATCTTGATTCAGACCCTTTTGGTCTTTCCCCGAGACTCCCTTCCGTAGCTCCCTTAGCTGCTTCTGCAGCTCCCCTTTATCGAATTCGGCCTTTTGCACCTTGGACTTCAGCTCATTGATGTATGATATGGCGTCTCCCAGAAGGGACGCCTTGTCCATCTTGGACACGTTAGGGACCAATGCTCTCAAGGAATAGAACCTCTGGTTGAGCTTCTCTCTTCTCTGTCTCTCCGCCTCTACGTGATTCAGCGGCTCTTCTCTACCGTTGGCCGGTTTTCGTCCTCGTTTTCTCGGCTTCTTCTCCGGTTCCACTACTCTACCACTGTCTGCTTCCTTGTACACCGAAGCTTCTACATCAGAGTGGTCCGAGTCGCCGGATTTTGCCGCGGAGGAGGGAAGAGCAGCGCCGCTTGTGAAAGAAAGTATCCCTTCCTCGTTGTTACTTCTCTTTGACACCGGAGATCTCTTCTTTTTGTTCTCTCCCGCCACAATACGGGTTTTACCCGACAACCCGCCTCCATTCCCGTTCTTGTTCCCGCAGAAACTCAGAATCTCGCCCGATTTCGGCCGCGACCCATCTGAATAGTTTCCGTTTTGATCCAGCCCTGAACTCGAGACATTCAAATCTCGATCTACAGACGAACCCTGTGGATTCTGCCTAGGGTTCTCCACCGAGCTGCCGTTCTCAAACTGTCCAGGCTTGGTCAATTGATGAGAGTTGGAATTACCGTTATTGATCGCCGCCGTCGGAGCCATGTTACCCGATTCGATTCCGGTGGTGGGCTCGCTGATCCAAAAAGCCGGATCGTTTTCTCCCTGATCCGGGTTCAGATTGAACGCCCAAGAACCCGCTTCGCTACCACCGCTGTTGAAATTGAACAAAGTATTGACCTTTTCCATCAGATCCGAGCTCTGTTGAATCACCTCCGTCGACCCCAGCTCCACAACGCCGTTTTCCGACGGAATACACACCAGCGTATGCAACCCGTAGATTTGACCCTGTCGGGCTCGCTCACAACCCGACCCGGCGAGCACATCCGACCCGGAAAGCCAGATCGTACGCGAGTTTAAGAACGCTTGTCCCGGAAATCCAGTTCCGTTCAGAAAGCTCTGAGTCATCGACACCAAGAAGAACCACTCTGTGTCGGTGACTTCCTCGTCTCCGGCATCTTCGGAAGCTCCAGCCACGGCTCCGCCGGAAATCAGGGCGTTTAGCTCCCGTATAACCCTCTTACGGTGCTCCTGCTCAGCCGCACTCTCCGGAGAACAACGTATGTTGCTCTTCCCCTTATCCTCTTCTCCTTTGTAGTACCCATCACCCCATCCGAGCAAGGCCGTTCCGCCGGCAGCGTCGAAGTCGTACGACAGCTGCCAGAAAATCGCGTAGGTCCAGGTCTCTGGCGCGCCTTCGATCAAGGCCTGGAGCCGCTGCTGGAGAGTCTCGTTGAACTGCGACTGCGCCGCCGCCGTCGGCGGCTGTTGGGGATGCCCACCGTCGCCGGATAATTGCTGCGGAGGAGGAGCAGGTGGCCAGGGAGAAGAGTGATCAGAGCCGATGAAGGTTTCCATCACCGATGAGTCGTCGGCGGCGGTCCACAGATTAATCGACGCCGTTGTGCCGTTGGTTGACCCGTTGAGACGGTAATCGGTCATGAGAGGACCCAGTCTCCCTGTCGATTATGGCGGATACCGTTAAAGGTATAAACTTTACGGCGAGAAAAAGAAGAGGAGAGATGGAAAGGAAGCTCGGGAAATGGAGTTGGTGATATTATGCGGAGTTTTGGAGAGATTCTGCGGTTATTTATTTTTCTGACAGCTCATTGTTATTCTTTTTTTTTTCTCGTCAACAATTACTCATTTATTCAATGACAAAAATCGTTAAATCAAACAGATTAATATAATTAATACTTAAAAATTCACTTTTCTCGCATTATGAAGCTCTTAATTTCAAAAAAAAAAATGCAAACACTTTATTAGTTTTCCAAATTAAAGATTGAATATGATGTTCTGAATAAAACTTGTCAGTGATTGAGTTAAGACACAAACTTCTCAAGTTCCTAACTAATAGGAGAATATATTTGCGCGTGTTTTTTTTTCTTGTTCTCAGATGTTGGTGTTTATTAAATTATTATGTCCCACCATTCGTCGTTTTCCTTTTTTTCCCTCGCTAATCGTATTGATAAGCACGATTGAAGGAAAATATTATTAAATAAAGGAGGCATATGTGTCCTAGAGTAATATAATAGATATCTGTGACAAAAAAACAAAAACAAAATCAAAAGGGTATATGTAACAATTGTGTGGTTGAATGGACGCATTCGACGGCTCAATGTCTCCGGTCCACGCAGTTCACGTGGAGAAAGTGTAATAACAAACATGGTATCACCCTCCACTTGGTGATTACTTCACAGTAATAATTTGTTATTTTATTACACAAAACAACAAAACCTTTTTGCCAGACTTGCAAGACAATTTGAACAATATAATAAACAAACCAAGACTTTTTATCTACATTATTCGATTACAGAATTTCGGCATGGTTTTATACATATTATATATATATATATATATGTGACACATGGCTCAATAATTCAAATAATGTGAAGCAAACATTTATGATGCATATGTAACGTGCATAGAAAGGTGTTGAGTGGGAATATTCGTGCCGTTGTGGCTTTTTAATACTCGGGAATTCTACAAATGTGCCACCCATGGTAATGACATTTTTATCCGAAATTACCCTTTTAAAATCACATCCAAATTTACATTTATTCTAAAATAAATTTACATTCATACTTTATCTTTTTTTTTTGGTCACTGTCACTTTTGCATGTAATTTAAAATGGGCAATATCAGAATGCCTTCTTGAAAGGGAGGTTGCGTATTTGATTTGTTACACACACACAAAATAATTATACTTGTGTAACTAATATTTAGGACACAATAATTATACTTATGCGACTACATAGTTACTTAGGATTATGTTATTATTTTTTTATTTTTATATATTTTGTATACGGAGATTTACTTTATTTTGTATAAACATGATATTGTACATATTTTTGTATAGAGCCTAAATAAAATGATAAATATTTATTTAGATGACATGAACTGTGATATTGTATATTTTTGTACAGCATATAAATGATATATGTATATATAATATAGGTGACATTTATCATAGGTAGGTACCCTGTGAATCAAATAACTTGGCTATGACTAAACTTATTCTAATTCATAATAAAACCTGATTTACATTATTTTTAGAGAAACTTTAGTAATTACTGCTTTAGAGAAACCCAATGCTATCGCAATTTCCAGGGTATTTATAGATAAATAATTTTAAATATAGTTCACCGGGGCTTCTATCCGATGGGCCAGGCCTGGTATGGGTGGATTAGGCCCACTGATGAGAATTTGACCCATTCAGTGGTATTGAAAAGGGGTCATGCAAACTAGGCGACGTTCGCTTGGTTCAGCTTTTAACGTCATGTTGTTCCTGAAACGGGATTGCACACGCTCTGCCGTTTCTAACTCTGAATACCTCAGTGGCATTTCCGTAAATTTAAGGTGCATATCGGGGTATCATTCTCTGTCTGGTACAAAAAAATCTTTTTTTCATAAATGGAACGCAGGACTTGAGGAGGGAAAAAAGAAACAAAACGAAGAGATTTTTTTTTTTTGGATGTAAAAACGAAGAGAGAATTTCTTTCATTTCTCGATTTTTGTTGTTGTTGCTTTTTACTCTCGTGTAGGTTGCCATAGGAGGTGATCCATCCATCATCACCTCTTCAGATTTCGTTTTTTTAGAGGATCGATCGACCCCCTTGTAAATCCATAAACTCTCTTTAGGTTTCTGTTGTGATGGCGTCTGAGAATCTTACCGACAAGAATGTTGTTTTCAGAAAATTGAAAGCAAAATCTGAGAACAAGGTTCGGTCTCATCAAGCTCGTTGCAATGGGTTTCTCTTGTGTTTGTGGTCCTTGATATGGGTCTTTGGTTGTCCGAGGTTTATCTCTCTGGTTTTGTATATCTCGTTCAGATCTGGGTTGGTATGATCGGATCTTCGATTAAGTTATGTTCTCTTGTGCTGATCCTGTTTTGCTTTCTCGGGGTTGTAGATATGCATCGACTGTAGTGCGAAGAATCCGACATGGGCATCGGTTACTTATGGTGTGTTTCTTTGCATCGATTGCTCTGCTGTTCATCGGAGTCTTGGTGTTCACATCAGCTTCGTGAGGTAATTTCGGATTTCGAGAAACACCATTTCTATATTGTTCAGTGTTTGACTGGTTCGATCGGGTTTATTACTGCTTAGAACAGTAGGAATTCGTCACTCTTGGTAAGGGTTTATGGCACGATAGGTATGGTTTTCTCAAGAGCTTCTCTGTGTAGGATTCATTGACTTTTCCCTTTCAGCCCCTATTTTGTAGCTACTCATTCACATGCTTCTGGGTCTAACTAACTGTTCGAGTATTGTGATTCGGTATGGTAGATAATACTTTCATATTCTCGACACGCATTGATCGTTTGTTTGTTTGATTTTGTTCTGTCTTCCATGTCATTTGATGGATCTCACTCCACGGTATCTTGTAACCTGCTCGCATAGAATTCATCGGGCTGTTTCAGAACATGAAAATTGGTTCTCCCAGTTGGATTTCCATCCAGTCTTCAAGTGCCATTTTCTTAGGAAGGAGCTGGCCAACATGTGATCTCTACTATATGCTGACAGAACATGGTTGATCGGAATGAATATGGCCAAATAGTTCTGAGTCACTTGTCTGCATTGTCCTTTCGATTTTTTCCTTTGCTTGAAGGTCTACGAACTTAGACTCGTGGAGTCCTGAACAGCTTAGAACAATGATGTTTGGTGGCAACAACCGTGCTCAAGTGTTCTTTAAGCAACATGGATGGACCGACGGTGGCAAAATTGAGTCTAAGTACACCTCGAGAGCTGCTGATTTGTATAGACAGATTCTCGTCAAGGAAGTTGCTAAAGCCATGGCAGAAGAGACTGCTCTGCCATCATCACCGGTCTCTGCCTCTCTGCCAGCAGAGGCGTCTAATGGGTTTTCGTTTGCTGTTAAGGCAGATGAACCTTCTAAAGAGAGTTTTTCTGCGAAACAAGACACACCCGATGTCTCCTCTTCACCAAAAGCTTCTCGTACAGTTGTCTCTAGCGTTGTTAAGAAGCCTCTTGTTGCAAAAAAGACGGGAAGGGCTGGGGGCCTCGGAGCACGGAAGCTTACTACTAAGGTAAGATTCCGATAGTTTTAAGACTACTCTGTTCTCTTGTTCGGACTAGGATGGAAGGTAGCTCCTTTAATTCTGTGAATGTTTTGAAACGGGGTTTGAGTTAACCTTTCTCGATTGTTATGTTTTTGTTGCAAAAATGCAGCGGAGTGAAAATTTATACGATCAGAAACCGGAAGAACCTGCCCCAGTTGTTACTGCAGCATCCTCAGCTAACAACAGCAGGTCTTCATCAGCAGCTGGTCCATCATTTGCATCTCGGTTTGGGTATGTTGAAAAAGAGATGCAAACAGGAGGAGGGCAGAGTGGAGCACAAGTCCTTAGCCATGTCGCTCCACCAAAGTCGTCAAATTTCTTTGCAGAATTTGAAATGGAAAACGGTTTCCAAAAGAAATCGAGTTCAGGCTCCTCCAAAGTTCGAGTAAGTTGTAATTCCTTTGATAGAAACTCTCAAGCAGAAGCTATAGTAGTATATAAGCCTAAATTCCAGCTAAAAGCAAGTTCTTAAAAAGGTTGAGGAGAGTGATGAAGCGAGAAAGAAGTTCTCAAGCGCAAAGTCCATATCTTCAGCACAGTATTTCGGGGAGCAGAGCAGGGCTGCTGGTGATCATGAAACAAGAGCTACCCTTGAGAAGTTCTCGGTTCGTTCTTATGCATTTGGTTGTTAATAAAAAAGAAATGGAGTCTTGATTTTTGGGTGGGATTGGTTTCTAAAACAACAGACACGAATGAATGAACGATGAACAGGGGTCGGCAGCTATATCAAGTGCTGATCTTTTTGGACTTGGGAGAGATGATTCATCATCAGTTGACATAACTGCAAGCGATCTCATCAACCGACTTTCTTTCCAGGTATTTAATCTTCCATCTCAGCTGGTTTATTTTGGAATATGGTCTCGGAGATCTGGCAAGGCAATGGCAATAACATGTGTGTTGGGTTTGGTGAACAAGAACAGGCGCAGCAAGATTTGTCGTCGCTGGTTAACATTGCAGGTGAAACCAAGAAGAAGCTTGGTTCCTTGGCCTCCGACATTTTCACTGATCTTCAGGACAGAATCCTTAATATTTTTTCCTTTTATTTTTTTATTTTTTTAAAAACAGCTTCATTAATAACCTCAGTCTCTCTCTTCGTTTTCCTCTTGTTTCGGGATTTTCAGTTATAGAGAGAGATTGACATCGTATGAACTATGAACTGTAACTATTGTCATAGTCAAAACATATAATTTATCGATGTTTATCTTTTTCCAAAAAAAGAAAAACAGCCGGAATTATCGGTTTTAGAATTATCGTTTCAAATTAAAAAAATAAATTAATTATATGCTCAACAGGAATTTTGGGTGATGAGATAGAGTTACATTAAATACCTGTTTTAATGATAATATTTGATTCTGTTAAGCGGCTGGCGTAATTAATCATGTTAAAATCTCTACTGGGAAAATACAGTTGAAGAGTAGCCATGGTTAAACAAAAACCCGTAATTAAGCGCAAGAGCCTCCTACTGTGAAATCCATCCATGGAGGTTAACCCATAAGCCGAAAGACGGTTAAGTTTCCCTCCTCTTTCAAAACTCCACCTTCACTCGGTTTTCTTGTTCCCTCCAAATCCCTCTGCTTCCAATATATAGATTCCCAGTCTTTGGATTGGATTCGATCATAAGTTCTGTCTTCTTCAAGGAGCCAAAGCCGATTTCTCCTTTGTATTTTTTTTGCCTCTCACATTCCCTATCGTTTGATACCGTTACTTCTCCCGTTCGAAAACCCTAGCTTTCTCTTTTTCTTTGTTCGTAGGACTCCGTTCTTCGGCTGAATCGAACCGGGTATTCGCCGGTTTTGGCCATAATGAGTGGAATTGTCAACTTCGCTGGCCCGCCTTTTCCGATGTCACGCGAGAGCTTCTGTTCGCCGCAATTGGCCCATTCTGTGGAAACCCTAGATGAGCCTTCGACGACGGCGCCGATCAGAGCCCTTGTTGCCCAGTCACTTGCTCTCTTATCGTCAGATCTAGATGATCAGCCTTCCGCTCCGACTGAATCCCTGGATAAGCTTAGAAACCTAGACGGGTCTTGTTCTTATTCGTGGCAAGAAACCCTTGTTGATCCTATTATGCCGCCTTGTTATGTGGGTTTCCAGAACAGAGAGGGCTTGCGTTCTCACTTAACGCCAGAGACTCGGATTTTGCCTGCGAGTGATTGCGGGGTCAACACTTTTATACAAATTCAGAATTCTCTTAACGCTCGGGGCGAAAAGGATGATGCTTCCGGAGACTTGTATACGTCTTATCGGACAGGTAATCACCGACCAGGTGGGTCTGTGGTGCTGACCGAACTGGGCTCGAATTCATTGCGGTCTACCTTGTCGGTTCCTCAACAGGAACTTTGGAAGATTGTACCCACTGGCGTTGTATGTGCCTTTTCTTCTACATTTACTTTGTCCAAAATCAGTTTGGTTCCATAGTTTATTTTTGACAATTAAGCTGACAATGGCATGCATTGCTAACCTTTAGTTGGATCGTTTAAGCATTGAACATGTTCACGTGAATTTTTTTTTTTTAATTGCTTGCATCTTTCACTGATCCACGTATTTACTTGCAATTTCAATACTCTTTGATTATTTAATCGTTTGATGATTGATGCCGGCAGGGTGCTGGGCTATTGAATTTAGGCAACACTTGCTTCATGAATGCGGTCCTGCAGTGCTTCACCCATACTGTACCCCTCATCGAGAGCCTATATTCATGGAAGTATTCAAGGCCCTGTACTTGTATGGTCTATGACTACCGCTTTCTCGAAGTCTCCTTTCTGTTCTGATTTAGTTGGTCCCTTGTTTATTAATATTCCAATGCAGTTGTAACTATCTTATGGTTTTGGGATCAGGGTTGCTGATTTTTTTTTATTTTTGCTTTGGACTTTCAGGTGCCAATGAGTTCTGTCTTATGCAGGTTCTACAAGATCATATTGAGATTGCATTGAGATCTTCAGGAGATCAAATCTCTCCTGTTCGATTTTTTGACAATCTTAATCGTATCCTTCTCATCTGATATGATTCAGAAAAATTATGTTCATTTAGAACCTAGTATTCCTATTCTTTATTTATGGACTGTCATTAGAGTTGATTGATTTAGCTGAACATCTTGCTTTCACTGCATATGTTTTGTTTCCGATGTGCGGGTTATCCTTAACTATCACAGAAATTTCATCGGCCTTCCAGAGATACTATCAAGAAGATGCCCACGAGTTCCTACAGTCATTTCTAGATAAGTTGGAGAGATGTTGTTTGGATCCTTTGAATAGGTTTAGATATGTCTCTTCTCAAGGTGTCAACATTGTTCAAGATGTTTTTGGTGGTCGTCTGGTCAGTAGGGTAAGAAATGTCCAAACCATCTTTCTGATTTCATGTTTACGCAACTTCCTGTGTAGACAAAATATGTTTATGGGAAATGTGTGCTCATTTGTTGAAACCTCGGATGTACTCTTTTCAGCTGCGTTGCTGCAATTGCAATTCCTTTTCTGATACATTTGAAACTTCCCTCTGCCTGAGTTTGGGAATTGACGATGTGGATGACCTTCCAAGTGCACTAGAATCTTTTACCCGTGTGGAAAAGCTTGAAAACCTGTTAACATGTGATAGTTGCAAGAAAAAAGTTTCAAAGGAGAAGCAACTCGCTCTCAGCAAGTTGCCGCTGGTAGCCACATTCCATCTGAAGAGATTCAAGAATGATGGATTTTCTACGGAGAAGATCTTGAAGCATGTGAATATCCCCTTGGAGTTGGACTTATGGCCTTACATGAGTGGCAGTGAAGAAAATGAAGTATGTCAGTTCATCGAGGCTCTTCTGCAATCTTTATTTGCAAGCATTTAAGACTTAATTTTTGACACTTCATTTGTCTCTTCAGGTTTCTACAACCTACCATCTATATGCACTTGTGGAGCATCTTGGGAGTTCACTAACTGATGGTCATTACGTCTCGTATGTGAGGTCTGCTCACGAGACATGGCATAAATTTGATGACTCGCGGGTAATATAGTTAGTGAATTCAATTGATTTGAGTGTTGTAACTAATGGCTCATGGATTATTTATTTAAGAATGACGTCTTCAATCAATGAACTTTTTATTCTGTTGCGAACCCTTGACAGGTAACGAGAATCGAAGAAGGTTGCGTGCTATCACAGGATGCATACATTCTGTTTTATGCCAGAGAGAGAACTCTGTGGTTCTCTAGTGTTTTTGAACGGATTAAGCCATTATGCGGAGCAAACATTCCGAGTTCCTCCCGAAAATCGGTGCTTGATCCTGCCTGCAGAGAGTTTGTATCTGATCACAGTGATGAGGACATCGATAAATCTAGGGTTGAAGAAACGTTTCGATCAATGGAAAATCCTGCTTCCTGTTGTCCCGAGCCACAGGAAGATGTGTTTCATTCAGCGGAATCAAACAGCATTGTCTCTCCCTTTACCGATGCTTTTGAGCCACCTGAGGCTGAAGATTATGACAGACTGTGCATCGAGTCCCATCTCCAAGATTTATCCAACTCATACCTTAGCGGGGATAGAGCGGCCATCAACAATGCATGTGTCCCTGTGCCTGAGGCCCGGAGCCAAGCCTGTTCTAAAATACACCAAGGTACATGCCTGCCTTTATTCTCGCATATTATTAAGACGCGCTTTATGTTTTGTCGGTCTATTGATATTACAGTACAGGTTTTTTTTTTTCGTTCTAATTAACACCCTATAGCCCTAATGGGCATTATATCAAAAATACCCTTAAAATGCTACTTCAACTTCAACACCTACCCTTGTGACCATGTGACCAATGTGACCGAAATATAGTGTGGTCACATATTGATCTCATTGTTCATAACGTTAAATTTATGATGTTTTAATCAAATGATTAGTAAGATATACAAGGTATGAACATAATGAATTAGTGTGATCACCATAAATTTAACGTTATAATCGATAAAAATCAAAATGTGACCATACTATATTTCGGTCACATTGGTCACATGTGACCAGGGTAGGTCTTGAAGTAGAAGTAGCATTTTAAGGGTATTTTTGATAATGCCCCGCCCTAATGTATGGAAGTTGATGTCTGAATTGCAGAGGGAAAATTACAGATTCAGCTGAGAAAGAAGACGGTACCGGAAGCTGTAGAAAGGGACATAGCGTTCAGAAGCATCGAGAGCCGACCTTCCCAGAGAAGGAGAATGCAGCTTCAGCTTGAGACTGATTCTCCGACAAAAAGAAAGAAAACGAATGCCGCTGCTCGTAGGTCTCGTCTTCACCGGTTGTAGTGTAGAATGCCCTTTTTCTGTTTTTGAGATTGCCTCCTTTTAGTTTAGGTTAGGTAAGGAAATCTAACATATGATGATTGGTTTATCAGAGTGAGTGGAGAGAGGGCGATAAGTTTTGCTATAAGATTAGATTGGATTTTATTAGGGTTTTTTGGTCTGATGTCATAAGATTGGTTTTTGGTGTCCTTCGGGACCTGGTGTGCAGTGGTTAGTGTTAAAGTGTCAAGAGGTTATAGGTTCGATTTCACTCTCTAAGGTTTATCACCGCGTGCGTCCGAAGGACTGTGTGTGGTAAAAAAGAGAGAGATTGGTTTTTGGTATTTGGGCACATCGTAAGATGTCGTTGGTTTATTAAAAAAAATGTGCTGTTGTTCCATTGAGGTGATTCACTTGTGCCCTCATGAACCCTCCCGAAGGATTTTTGTCAGTTTTACGATCTTTCTCGTATTATTATTGTGGGCTTGGTATCTTTATTAGGCCTCAGCCCAACCATACTATAAATCGCATTGAGAACCCTTTTTTTTTTTACACGTTTTGAGCGGTGTCCGTTGAGAAATCGAAACTAAATGAATTCATTACACGAGAAGAAGAATTCCAAGATGTTTATAATTTGATATATCATATCTGATTATTTCCGAGATATTTCTAGGTAAACCTTCTTGGCCCGACGAATAATATTAGTTAAAAGCAAATACAAAAAGACAAGGTGCATATAGGGCAAGTTGGTCCTGAGTTTCGAGAAGTATGTCTCTTTTTTGTTGTAAAGTTTCGAAAATACATTATAATACTATATTATAATGGAATTGAAAAACTTACTCTATCATGCATTTCGTCTGCTTTAATTTGCAAGTTGGCCGTGTTGATAGGTCGGCCTATCTCATATTAAAATTTAGACAACAAAAAGAAAAATGTAGTTTAAAAAAGTTTCGAAAGAGCTTAAAAAAACATATAATTAAATGTTTTTTGGATTTACACAATGTTTAGAGTATAATTTATCAATATGGAATTCATGGACATAGACAGACATAGTACTTTGTCAGAGGTATAGATCCAAGATTTGTGGAAAATACCGTACGAAGACATATCCAGGGTGTTTCCGTACACTTTGTGGCCGTTTCAGTCAGCGGTCAGAGGAGAGGAGTCAGGAAGCCGCCGCCTCTCTTGGCCGGTTCACTTCACAGGTTTCGTCCGGTTCGGGCTGACCGATTCTTAGCCAATAACTGAACGTCATACACGACCGAGTAATTCCAGTTTGGGGCTTCACAATTAATACGTGGATTTATATATTTTTTAAAAACATAAACGTATTACACTCTATCGCTTGTTTTTAACCAATATATTTATATTAAAAAAAAAAAAAGAATCAATGCTATATGGATTGAATGGATCGATTGTCAGATATTATTTAAATAGTTATTACGACCAATCTATGTAAATCTAGGCGACAGAAATTGACAATTTGGATGGTTATTCCTTTTATATATATATATATATAAAATTTAGTAGCTTTTTTGGGTAGGGTCCGTGATGAAATATTAATATATGAAAAAAAATGGAAAATAGAGGGAGTTGGGCCCCACCGAAGGCGTGTGGTTTCAAGGTCAGAGATGGCGTGCGGCGTCGGTCCAAGTGCTTCAACTCTGACTTACATAATCTTCAAATAAAAGTCCAAATAAAATTTTCTTATGCAGTAGTATGGTTAATTTCAATTTGTAGGAGATAAGGATCAAGTTGAAATCTATATCTTTTTTTTTCAGCAGATTATCATTGCATTATATATTACAATAATGAAACTATGGGATATGAATATGTTCATTAATAAATGTATAAAGTACGGAATATAACTGCAAAAATGTAAAAATTTTATTCAAAACAAGTATAAATTAATTTGGGCTTACCGCCCACAGAGACATAAAAAAAAGATTAACACTGTAAAGGGAAGAATAAATTAGTGTGAGGTTAAATGACCGCATTTCGCAATTGAATCGATACATACAAAACTTAATTTACACACTATTAGCTAAAGGCAGAGACAAAACTATCAAATATATTAAACTATTTTTGAATTCAAAAGTGAAAACCATCAAGTTGGTGGTGAATGGGGCAGCGAAAAATATCATTTTAATTGAAAAAATAAACTTAATTTTCTTACAAAACCTTGGCGGTCACATGAATTAACTTTCAACAAGAAAAATGAATCTTTTTAAAACTAGACGTTTTACTCTTTTTTATTTCTGTCTTTAAGAAATCATCATGCAAATAAATAAACTAGTAATTAAGAAGTCAAAGCTTTCAAAGGTTTTATTGAAAAATAATATGACATCGTCCTCTATGTTTCATCATGCATGACACATGAATACAAGCCGTTGTTATCATGACGTGGTAATTAAAATGTTGATGCTAGCCTATATGTTCCTTCTATTATATTTTATGATACACAGTTTTAGTTTTCTTTTAATTCAAACCATATATAATATATAATATTCATGTATGTGTGTATAGAGGGTGTATATATGTGGTTGGTGAGGTCTAGGATTAGGAACAATATAATTTGTCATTGGGCCAACAAATCGTATTTGCATGTTTCATGGAGGTGATTACTCTATGAAATCATTAATTATCATTGAAAGACATGCCGTCGGGTTACCTATAAAGTTATATTTTATCCTACACACATTATATATATATATATATATATATATATATATATATATATATATTTGAATCTACTTTACTTTTTTCTTTAATGACTTAAGATAAAATCTCGCGATACTGTGAGTATTTTCTTGTCTGTGTGTGTGGCCAAAGGCCGGTGGGCATTAGTTTACATTGAATTGCCGTATCAAAAGTGATGCATGTTGGAATTGTTGTTAGCAGCGACTTTGCAAATGTACACAAGATGCCAAAGCCTGATTATGTAATCGTCCGCCCACCTTTTCATCTCTTAATATACGCATAATGTAATTTTGTATTAGTTATTTTTATTAAAAAAATATAAACAATTATGGATTAGGTGATCCAATTTAGTAGTTTGTCGCCACGTATAGTTCACTGCAATGCTACAATTTTTCATTTGTACTATGAATTTTCTGCTTTGAATTTATGTGATATATATGCTTCGATAACTATAACAACTCATTCACACGGATATGTATCGACAAGTATGATGTCAAATGTTGCATGTAATGTCAAGATGCTTTCCCAATTTAAAATAAAAATTAAATTAAATAAGACAAAACAATGAACTAATGAAAACCGGAGAGTGACGACGTAATCTCTTATCTCACCATAACAACAACTACTAATGTTTTGTTTCTTTAATCAAATCCGCGTGTGTATTCAACTACTAATGTTTTTCGGCAAGCCAATAATATGTTAGTTTAAGATTTCACATTCAACGACCAAATATAATAATAATTCTATAATTTAACATTATGAAAATAATTAAAAAGTGCATAAATATATAAAAGTGGGTATAAAAGAAAAACAGAAGGGGGGGGGGGACAAATGGAAATACGCGAAGAAACATATAATGGAATTAAGGATGGAGATGAGGTGTCAATCGCAATAATGGGGGCAATAACGATCTCAACTTGGAATATCCAACACAATAATCCCACTTTGCCAAAAAAAAATAAATCATGGCCATGTATATATATATTATATGAATGGAAATAATTACATACCAATGAATGTGGCGCCTATAAAAGCCTTTCAAAATTACCGAAAAGAGGAATAAAATTGGACGGAAACTTTTTTTTCAAGTAGGAAAGTGCTGTATGAGATAAGACCGGAGGAGGACATAAAGATATTATTACAAATAAAAAAAAATTAAATTAAATTTCTATATAAAATATAATTGAATAAATGTTGAGGGAAATTAGAAGGAGAGGACAAGGACAGGGAGGGTTCCTTGAACCCGACGCATCTGACTTGGGCTCGGTTGTCGACTTTGTGCGGATAAGAACGACTCCTTCTCTGCTCTCCTCTCTTCTCATCTCTCTAACCCTCTCTCCAAGAAATCCTCTCTCTCTTATTACAAAAAAAACTCCCAGCTGAAGCAAAAAGTCTGCTTCTTCACCGCACTGAGGAAATGGCAATCGAGGATCAGGAAAATACGATCAGAGAAATCAAACCCAAGAACAGGAGAATCATGGTATTTCCCTTCTCAATTGCCGCATTTCAGTTCCGTTACGGCCTTTTCCTTCTTCAGATTATGTCGTTCTTTTTCATCAGTTCCTGCTCCACATGATGCCCTGTTTCTCCCCCATGTTTCGTTGTCCTAGTGAGTTCTGTCTTTTCTCATCTACTCCTCGTTGGTGATCGATTTCACGATCTGGGTTGTGCTTGGATTTGAAAATTTTCATCGGGAATGTGAAAAGTTGTCTGCTTTTTAAAGTGGTCCAGTTCGGGTTTCCCTTCAAGTGCTCTGTTTTGTTTCTTTGATGAACAATGCTTTCATCTTTATTGAACAATCGGGAAATGACTTTAAAATTTGCATCTTTCCATGCTTGATTCCGTAAATATAACATTTTTTTTTTCATTGAGAATCAAACTCGAAGCATCCGATAGCGTGGTTGATAAAATGGGGTTCTTTAGGTAAATGCATCAAATCGCAAACATGTATAATCTGGAATGGTAAATGTATAACATAAAATGGCTAGCAAGAATATGGAATATTGCTGGGTTTAATGCGAATAGGACCAACGAAAAACATATACTCTTTGAATTTGATTTGCGGTCTGATATTCGATTCCCTCACATATTGCCTTTATAAAAAAAAATAAGCTTTTTAATTGAATAATAACAAGAAAGACAGAATCAAATTTGAAACTTATACCGCAAGAGCGGCCATTCCTTTCATTGGAGCATTTGTTTAATTGAAAGATTCATATCTCTGACTCAATGTTTTAGATCTCAAGGAAAACAAACCATTATCAAAGCAAGTTTGATTCACTGTAGAGTCCTTGCTGAAATGCAAAAGTTTTTTCCCCAACAAACGGTCAAAAGCTCTTAATGTGTAAAACAATAGTGTATGCTGCAAAGTTTCTGTATGGAAACAGAAAAGTCATTGTCTGAAGAGAACCTGGTATTTGCTGGAATATCTTTAATTCGCCTGAGAAAGAAATTCTGGTGTTATAGAGATATCCAATGGTATTGTGGCAGATGTGGGTTGTTTCTGTTTGCCCAAGGTGATTATCACAGGCTGCTAAACTTCAAGCGCTGATGTTGTTTTCTTGGGAAGAAAATGATTTTGGTCACTGTCTGAATAATTTGTTAGATCCGGGCATTTTGGCCTTTGGGTGATGAATAAGGTGGAATTGTGTTTGTCAGGGACCGGACGAGGAGGAGAACCAGTGGCCGCCATGGCTGAGGCCTTTGCTGAAAGAGCACTTCTTTGTTCAGTGCAAGTTTCACGCCGACTCCCACAAGAGTGAATGCAATATGTATTGCTTGGACTGCACTGACGGCCCCCTTTGCTCTCTCTGCCTCTCCCACCACAAGGATCACCGCACCATTCAGGTATGCCCTTCCCCATTTTCAAACTGTTTCCATCCATTCTCTGCTTGATGAGTAGACAGGGGCACATGGAGAAATGCTTGTTTCTCTTGTAATCATTCGTTTGGTATGAGTATACATCTGTTGAATTCATTCCAATGGGTTCTATTGCAGATAAGGAGGTCATCTTATCATGACGTGATAAGGGTCAATGAGATACAGAAGTATATGGATATAACAGGCGTCCAGACATATGTGATCAACAGCGCCAAGGTCGTCTTCTTGAATGAGAGGCCTCAGCCTAGGCCCGGGAAAGGCGTTACCAACACCTGCAATGTCTGCTATCGCAGCCTTGTCGATGATTGCTTCCGCTTCTGCTCCCTTGGCTGCAAGGTACTTTCTTTTTCTCTTTTCCTTTTCTCGTTGAATTTTAGCAAATCCCTTTGGGAGAAGGAACACTTTGCCAAAACTTTTTTATTTCAAACCTGTTTGGCTGCCAAGAAAAAGGAAGACAAATTTTGCAACTTTTGTTTGCATTCGGTTTACTGCATTCTCATTTTTTTCCAAGTCTCATATCGCATTCTGATCTAACCGGTCCGAGTTGTGTTCGGGTTCCGAGATAAAAGGAAGAAACTTTCAACGTGGGCACTCTCTCTTTGCATTCCCACACTTTCAGTCTTTTGAGTGACATTTTCCCAACTCCGAACATAGTCTGACAAGCTTTTCTCTAATGTGTAAAGATCGTGGGGACATCTCGAAGCTTCCAGAAGAGGAAGATGCACCTGCTGACGGAATCAGAGGATTCGAGCAGCAGCACGGGGCAAGTGAAGAACATGGTGAATCTTCAAAGTTTCAGTCCATCAACACCCCCGCTTACATCGGGTAATTACAGGATTACCAAACGAAGAAAGGGCATTCCTCACCGATCTCCCATGGGATAAGATGGACAATGCACCCAGAGATTGGCCGGTGTTACTCAGTGTTTTCAGGTTCCTTGATATATACTCAGAAGGTTAGCTAATACACAAGCTGCGCCCTACTTTCCTTCTCATACAAAAAGGACTTTTGATGTATGTGTATATATATATATACAAAGCTCATGTATATTTATGTGATGCAAGAAAGCTACGGGGGAGGGGGGGGGGGATAGAGGCCTTGTAGGAGGGCAAAAGTGGGAATAAGACAAAAAACCGAGGGCTGTGATGGTAAACATAGTGTGTGTTTTTGTTATCGTCTTTAGGTCTACCGTGTAAATCTGTAATGGGATAGATGGGATATGTTAGAGAGGAAGTGCCTACACTTTTTATAAAATGGAATAATCAAAAGTAATAAGAGATTTCTGCCTTTGTGAATCTTAACTTATTTCATTTTAATTGTTAGATCCATTTGATTGTTCATTGCAATGATATAAGAGAGACAAGTTAAGCAAATCATACCATAAGCCTCCAAGATATACAGATGCTAATACCAAACACCATAAAATGTCCCGAAAATGCTTATAACACAACTAGAGGGGCCAAAATGAAAGAAAATGAAAATTCCAAAGCCGACACTTTTCTTCGTCTTCCTTGAATTGGTTTCATCATGTGTAGCCTTGTTTGTACTTTCTGAAGAGATCTTCCGTCTTAGCGTTTCTGAACGCGCAGCAGCCGATGAGGTAAACGATGATCAATCCGATCAGCGTCAGAAGAAGTACGATGTCGGCTTTTCGCCATTCGTTCTTGAGATTAGCGAGCAAACCGGCTTTGCAGGAATCGCAATTGTAGCACAATTGGTTCTGGTCGTTGCTCCATTGGAGACAATCCATGTCCGCAGACATCGCTATTGGACTTATCCAGTATGTCGGGTTCACGAAGGTGTAGCCACATTGGGTTGGGGGCTTACAGCAACCAGACTGAAAATAACTGGGGTTAAATTATAAACAATATATAATATCGGGTACATACGGCTTTCAGGTGTGCGATAAATTTTGCATCGTCGAAGAATCTCGAGAAGTATAGTTTTTACCCTTTTTTTTTTGTCAAAAGGTCTTCTTTTCTTGCTACAAGCCAACAACTTTTCTACATCTCATTTCATCCAGACCCACAAATGTGTAGTAATTCAATTTTTGCCCCAGTATTTTTTATTTATTTCAATGAATCTTGCATTTCAATATATCAACATTTGCGAATCTGGTTAGCTTGCCTCATGGTGGAGAAAGCTCAAAAGATACACTTTTTCCCTTAAGCAAGACTCCTTCACTTGCAACAAGCTAAGAACTTTTCTAAATGTGATTTCTTTCAGACCACCAATTGTTTAGTAAATCGATTTCCACCCCGTTATTTTCATTTGTGCTACCACCCACCCCCCTCTCATCTCAATCTTGTCTAACTTACTACATCATGAACAGAATGGATCGACTTAAACGTAGATCTACGAACATAATCAGAGGAAAAGAATGAAACTTTACGCAAATCTAGAGGAAAGAGGAGGTTGAAACTTACTTGGATGGGGCTGAGATGAGCGTTAAAGAAATCTTGGGCCATTCGGTAACTCTGGTTTAACTCAGGGCAGATGTTGGTGGAGCTGAGACAAGTCCGAATGCGGTCCCATTTGAAAGAGCTCTTGACACGGCGGCGTAACCAGCCGGAGAAGTCGTCGAGACGGTACTCCACATAAGCCCGGCTGGGTTCAATGTGACCAGAGCCTCTGCTGGTGACCATGAAGACGAAGACGACCAGTGCAGAGAGGAGAACGATGAGGATGAGCATGGCAATGAGGTATGTAACGAGGAGCCATGGGATTCTCCAGAAGCCACCGATGAAACCGGCCAGACCCACGACGAGGATGAGGATCCCGAGAATGATGACGGGCCATTGCAGCAATTTGACGCATGAGTTGTCCGTCTCCGTCGCCAGCCAGATTCCGGCGCCGATGACCGGCACCGAGAGGAGCACGGCTATGAAGTTTATGCACCCTATAACGTTGTTGCTCAAGGGCATTTTTCTTTTTGGTTCGATTTGTCGCCTGGATCGGAAAAATGTCTTCTTTTTCACTCTGTTTTCTTGGGTTTTTAGGGTTTGGGTTTGGGGTGTTATGGTGTAATAATGGTGGTGATGGTGTGATGATGAAGAGAGGAAAAGGGAATAACTTGGGTTGGAGTTCAGATTCTCGGTGTGAAAAGTGAATTAGGGATTTTTAAATTTGAAATTTTAAAAAAAAAAGTAAAAGAAATTAGGAAAGCTTTACATGTATATTGCGTATATCATTATTCTCCTGTGTGTCGCATTTGCTTGGACTTGGGGTTTTTGAAGAAGTGGTATAAAATAATCACACAACCATCCGACGAATGCGTAATCAAATACATGAATCTTGATAATATCATTCATCGATTGTTGCAAACAATTATGGATAATAAAAGAGATATTTTGGATGATTTGTTGTTTATTACGATCTATAAAAGGGTTTTATTGGGTTCCATTCCTAAATCAGCGGGTGGGGCAAATGTTTTTATGGTTTGTTTAATGGGCAACTTTGTTTATTACAAGTCTAATCACTTTGCCTTTAGCTTTTTGAAAAGTGGACAGCGTGCACACATCTCATTGCGCAAGAGGAAAAGAATACAAACATCATCTTAATATATACATATATGTATTCATACTTTTAAGTTTGTAATTCTTAAGAGATACCTAAAAAGAATTCAAGGCATATTTTGGTTCCCCAAGCTTTATATACCATCTAAGAGATACACATACAAATGTTTATGCTTAAGGAATGGAATCTGAGAGATGCTAAAAGGTCAAAGATTTATGAGGGAGCGTAGAAAATGAAAGGCATAGGGGACGGATATGGGTCCCATATGACACGTCGACCCACTCCCGAATTTACATAATTTATAAGCTTCTGTATCCGTCAGTCCACAATCTTATATCGAATTTATTCCATCTAAACCAACATCGTTACAAAAAAAAACTGTAAAACCCATACCACATACATACATGCATGCATGCCATTGATTTGTATGGATGCTAACAAATATACGTGTTCACCCATCCTTGTGTATAATCTCATCTTAGGAATGTATCTAGGAAAAAAAAGAAACGTGTGGGTGCCAAATAGGTGGATTTCGGTTTCGCATTATTCTTTCCTTGAGGCCAGCCCACCATTCCATGACCGATGTTTTCGATCATCTTAATTAGGGTTTCCCAAGATCTGAACATGCTTCTCCCTCTTGCCTCATTCTCATCACATCATGGAAAATGATAAATAAAATTGTTTTCTTCTTCAGTGACCCATTTTATTGGTTTCTCTTTTTTTTATAATCCGAAAGTTCATCGTATCAGTTGAGCTATCCAATCTTATATTTTCAGAGATTTTCATATCTTTCAATCGATTCTTTGCTCGTTTATAAACGAGAGAATCAAGATTCATCTTGAAACGTATATCCAACTTTGGTAATACTAGAAATTTACATACAGATTCATCGTTTTATACCGAAGATTATAAGACATAACACGTAAGTTTCCTATTCTTACAACTAAAGTTGGTCTATTATTCGTTGATTGTAAACATATATATACGAAATTATTACAATCCACACTCAGAAAGGGAGAAAATGTTAAAAAGATAGCAGTGATTGATCAGTGAACAAGCTTAGTACGTACTCTTCTTGGAGGCAAAACCTAATTGTTAAATATAACCCTTCCGGGCAAATCAACACGGGTGGTATTCCTGTTGTTCATGAAATGTCGAAGGGCATTCCGGACATTGAAGAGCAACAAAAAGCTTCTTCCTCAATTATACTCAGCATGTGATGAACTGCTGCTGCAATGTCATCTCCTGAACTTAGCTGACAACTCTCTTCCACCTTTAAAAAAAAAAGGGAAAATATTCATAATTATTCACTAAAAGACTGTAGATTACACCCATCAGAAAATATAGTTTATACTATGGCTTTAAAATGATCATGTGTGGACTATATAATGTATATATATTCGAGTATTTTTTTTTTATACATAGGTATAATATGCCCATCACGGGTCAATAATTGAAGTTCTAATGGGTAAAAAAACTATAGAAATGTATATCTAACTTTGGTAATAAATGTTAGACCAAATCCAGTTAAAAGTTCATAGGGTATTCCCTTTTTTTCCATGTCCTGTCCCCTCCGACGTAAAAAATCTAACATCAATTAATTCCACAAAGACCAAACTACCCCTATCAACTTATGGCTATTCTGCATTGCAGCCATCTTTCCTTGGTGATATGATAATGTAAGGGGGGAACACTACACATTTGAATTTCAAACCCGGTTATCTTTTATTTGGTTTTACGTGAAAAATAGGCGACAATGTGACATCTTCTCATAATATGTATACCACTAATTACTCATGTGACATGACGTCAAGAATCATATTCTTCCAATTCTCGTTAGATTTTGCTGGTTGTTGAGCCAATTGTGCCCCAAAACCATCATCCGGTTTAGATCGGTTTGGTTTATTAGAGTCGGAAAAATGTAATAACCGGTTTCGAAGGGACGAAGAGAATAGAGTGTGGTTAGTACCTTGGTACTGATAGAGTAAACAGCACAAGTGAGAGTTGTGGTGAGACTGAGGTGAAGAACAGAGAGGGAGAGAGAATGAAGGGCTGCCACCAACTTCGACAGCATCGTCCCTCTTCTCCTGCACAGTATTCTGATGTTAGCGTGCGTCTCTATCAGCGTCACCTCAACATCCGCCATTGCAGCTCTCACGAAGCTTCTCGACCCGTTCTTGTTCTCTTGGCTCGGATCATATGAGTGAAGAAAGAACTGAGAAAGCGACTGCGTATGATTCTCGGCTTCTCCCGAATCTTGGCTCGTGGAGGAAGAAGAAGGAAACCCCCGGTTCGACTGGTAGAGTTGGAGCTTTTGAGCTTCAAGAGACTGTAATTTATGTTCAAGTTCTTTGATGAAGTCTATGGCTCCACCTACAATGGAAGCTTGATCACCCTGATATATAACAAAACCCATAAACATAAACTTGTATATCTCACAAAGAAATCTCCAAGACAATTCGACGCAATTCCATGCTTAATTAGGGCAAGAATATATATATGAGCAAGAACTAAAAATATGTAACCTTTTGAGCATAAGACTGAGGCATGAGAGACCGCAGATCCGACAGATGTTGGTTCATTTGTCTCCTCCGGTTTCTCTCCACCGCAATGTGAGTCATTCTCTGCGTCTCGGCTTCTTCTTCGTTCTTACAACCCCTAGGCTTCCTCCGCCGCCGCTTCCTTATTCCCCGAGATGCCGGCGGTGGTTCCTGACGAGCGCCGGAGGTCGTTGTCTTCCGGACGATGACGTCATTTTCCGGGGAGTTGGGGACGGCGGCGGCGCTGAATGGGGTCGGCGACAGAGTCTCGTAGAGCAGGAAGCTGAAGAGGTCGTTGGATGATAGAGCCTCTAGCGTCATGGCTACCAAAAGTTTATTCCCTTTTCTTAGATTTCGAAAATTCTGGATTTGATTTTTCGAGAAGTGAGAATCCGAGAAGGAACTCAGATGTTGCAGAGATGTAGCTTCATCTCATTGAACGTGGGTTTCACTATACCTTATATACACCAAGATTCCAAATCTTGATATTTTTTTGTTTTTTCCAAAAGGATATTTGTTTTTTTTTTTTGTGGGACGAGATATGACAAATGCGAAACACGGAGCTTTAGTACATTTGAGTTTAATTTCGTTTATATTTTTACATATTTATATTAAATAATTAAAAATTAGTCGCCAAATAATAACCACGTCTTCATACAAGTATCTATAATATGGGTTTTCCCTCTCTTTTTTGTGGGTGAGATGGGGATATAAATGCCGACTTAAACAGGTAAATTTCACTGTGAAGCGATACATCTTCTTCTAATCAAAACGTGCAAATTGATTTAATAAACTGACAGAAAATAAAGAACCGAAAGTCGTTCAACTTAAAATTCGATGAGTCAAGATGCAACACATCGGCCGGTACGAACACACAGTGTTGTTGCCTTTGCAATAAACACAGCACCCACCTGCTAATTTTCTTCAAATGATACGTTGAATTCAATAGAGTGATCATTAAATGCTTGGGGGTCCTCCTGCAAATGCCTTGTGCTCCATAATTTTGAAGATTCAGATGGGCATAAGTGTATAATGAATTGGAAGTAACATCGATAATTATAATAAAAATGCGACCGTAGAACCAAGGGAATTAGAATGGATGAGGATATACGGTCTATTATACAGGCTGCTACACGTGAGAGGGGTCAGAGGAGCAAAGGTGATGTTCTTTTCTCTTGTCTGCAACACAAAAGTTGTCATAGAATTGACCTCCCCCCCCCTTTGTAGTTTGTACTTGTGCTACTTTTATAACCTCATATTACTCATCAAACTCCTCTCTCTATTTTTATTATTATTCAAGAGAGGGATTCAGATAATTTCAAAGCCAACCTTGAATTTGAATCTGCGAAGTTGGAATCACTTTGGTAAGGATGGTACGATGTTATCATCAATACATAGCTCGGTTTTGTAGATGGAGAAGGAAAAGAAAATGAACCAAACCGAACCGAACCGGTCGGTTTGGGGGAGGGGGGACCATGAATGATAAAATATAAGGGATACATAGTAAAGACAGAGCAGTCAGCTGTATGAAAGCAAAACCTCACATTCAAATCTGTGTTTTTCTTCTTGAAACTCACTTCGCCTCCTCCTCCATTAATTGTGCTTTTTTTTTTCCTCCTTTTTTTTTTAAAAAAAAAAAATTGTGAAGGCAAAAGCACTGTTATGTATATATATATATATATCTTGTAAAATATAAGAGCAAAGGCAAATCCCTTGAGATTAACGGGGCGGGACTATTCCATGAAACAGGCAAGAGTCAATATCTCGAAAGGGAGGAGAGGAGGGAGTATAGGGAGAAGTGCATAATTATTACTGTGACAAATGTTGGCTTATATCATTTAAAAGGTTGTCTTTTCTTGCACAGTCGGAATTGTTTTCATGCTAACAAGACAAGAGGCGGATGTGGTAAAATACACGACCCCGTGATGGGGGTCTCAGTTCCCCTCCCTACCCCTGTTTTTTTTTTTTTGGTTGAAATAACTATCTGCAGTTTCTGATAGAAATCGACAAATCTCAGACATCGAAGCGCAGAAGAAAACTCCACGCCACAGAATACCATGGTTTTGATGCAAAAATCCAGGCAACAACAAGATATTAGTTCTCATCTTTCTTTCATGAAACGTTCATTCTCCACCAATTTCTTCAGAATGGTTCCGTACATGCTTGCACAGGGGAGTGGTGTGAAGTTTCTTCCTTAACACTCGGTTTCTGTAACCAGTCATCGGGTGGGCAATCTTTGGCTATAGACTGTGGTCCTAAGCAATGCATGTTCACGAGCACATCCTTGTCCAGATTCGGTCGTACCAAGAAACGTGTCTAAACCCAGCCTACGTGTTGCATAACATGCAAACACGTGTTGATGCCTACGAATTATTCATGGCGATTGCGAGAGAGTATGTACATGCAACACCATCAGAACATATAGATTCATATACGCAGGCCGAAAAGAGAGAGCGTACATTTTAGGAAGGAAGAGGGGGAGAGGGAGGGGAAGAGCAAGTGATGTTGTCCGGTGAAGACGACTGATGAGAGAAGTTGAGAAGTGGACCAAAGATGCTCCTGAAAAAAAAAAAAAAAAAAAAAAAAACACTTTCAGACAGTAGAGACTTGTCCATGTCAAGAGTATAATCCATTAATCATCTCACACATCATTGTCTTACTGCTCTCGCTGTAAAAAGAAAGAAAGAAACCCACACAGTAAATCTCTCCAAGAATTTCGAATCCGCCATTGAAATTTAACTCAAGGGCTTGAGACGTGTTGTCTTTCTGTGTGTCGCCGACAGAGAGAAGCAATGAACAACATGCATCCTTCTCACGTGCATCCTAACTGGCGATAACGTTATGTAATATTTTTGAGAGATGCCGTAGGGACCAGTGGTTTCAAATTTGGCATCGACCATCACTGTCTGAAAATGTGTTGGACCATAAGGATTTGAGGATATTGTGATTGTCACCATTTACCAAAACTTTAATCTGATGCCGGCGAAATGAATGATTCCCCTTGTAGCAGATAAAGCGATGGCGTAGGCGGCCATTATGAGAAGGGATGAGATTCCAGACGTAAATATGGTATCCACTGAGAGGTTCATCAATCCTGTAAGAACGTTTGCCTGCATTTTAGTAAAAATTGGATTAAGGGTCTTATCCATACTCCAAAGAGCGTAATTGTGGAGATTTTTGGACAAACCCAGATGAAACAGACAAGTGTTTTAGCTTACAAGCAGAAATGTAGCTAACGAGTTTAGGTCGAATGCTTCTTCAAGTGATGAAAGTTTGCTTGTAGGGATATACACAGAAAGCATAAATATCTTTGGACATAGAGATAGAAGTCAAGAAGTATAGGCAAGACCCTGAGACAGACATCCACAGGATGTGTTAGAAAGTCAAGAAGTTCATTATAAACTTCTTGTCAGTCTCGGCAAATTAACACCTCTGGTCATCGGACAAGGATTCCATTTTTCTGTGCAACAAACAAGCTTGTGTGTACAACTGTTATTGAGCGTTTGGTTAGTATTTCAATTGATCATAAACACGTCACACTGTTTTATGTATGGCATGACAGAGAAGACGTTCCAAACGCAAAAGAGAGAACAAGAAACCGTATATCAATCAGACCTTACCAAAAACGCCAAACACTCCTTGTTTTTGCTGATGATGCCATTGCCAGATCCTCTTTCATCCCAAAGCAAATATGTATTCAATCCATTAACCAACCAAGTTTGGATCTGCATAGAATAGGACCACGGTTAGACTAGTAAACTTCGAAGCATCGGGCAGTAGACTACAAATTCAATGCCCCTGGTGTTATACTTTGCAGCATCTTCCCGGAACGTACTTCTGTGATGAGATTTTAATGTTTGGCCGAAGTATAGAACCGAAGCTGTAGAAAGGAATACGGGCACAAAGGAGCCAACCCCAAGATCCATCAAAATTTTAGTTGGCAGACAATAAATAGTACAGGTTTGCTCACCAAAAAAGGAAGACCAATCCCAGACTAGATTGAAGCAAATGTGCAGAGAAGGGGAAAGGCAATCAAAGTAAAAGTAAAGTAATAAAGATGATTGTACGCATCTAAACCATGCCAAGCTAGTACCGTAAGTCTCTGTCTTGGCGTGCCTTCTAGGGAAAATAGTGAAGTCCACAGCCAAGATACACAAACATGTAATTATCATCTGAAACCGATCCCTTCGGAAGAAAAGGGGCTTACCAGGCAAGTTTATTTCAGCTAACTTGATAACTAGCTCTGAATGAGAAAGGCTGTCCTAATGTCAACTCGGGAGAAGACCAGGAACTGTACCGAAGTTTTAAGGCCTCGGTCAGCGTCTCTAAGTCGCTCATTCTCGAGAAATCTTGAACTGAAAGCCCCCAAGTAGACCAATCAGACAGCACCTGTAATAAGCATCCATTGATTAGACACGGCAAGAAAATACTGAAACTCGAGTACATGAAATCGAGAAAGTATTCCCCTTGCAGTGAGAGCCTATCAGCCCAAAGGCATCGGAAAGGTGCATTATACAAAACTCAAAAGATGGCGAGACAAAATTATGATCGTGGTGGAATTGGAAATATGAAGAAGAGGAGATCTAAAGATAGTGCGAGTGCGTTATCCCTCCAACTCCTGGAAACAACATTCCCATCATCATCTTGTCTTGGATGAGATGTCTCGGCCGTGATCATCTATAGCCAAAATGAATGTCTTATGCTTCACTGAACAAATGGAATCAGCTACATAATACCAAGAGCGTCATTGCTCGTAGTCAATAGCCACCGATAAAGCCAAGAGCTTGATACACATCATTCGATGGTTCATGGTAAATTCATCTAATTTTTCTTCCAAATTTTTACAAATTTGAGTGATTTTCAGCCCTTTCCAAAAGGCATATTTCGTCATTCTATACCTATTTGACCGAAAATTGATCTTAAAACCTGATCTTTCAGACATAACACAACCATGTTCTACTACAGGATGCAGCGGAAAGTGAAATGAGATGACGAATGACGAACCAATTTTCAGGTGGGAACCAATCGCGTATCGAAGAAGAACCAAAACCTTCGGCACAGACCACGACAAGAGAAAGCAACGCCATTGTCACAATTCAACAAAGAAGAAGAGACCGGAGAGAAATTAGGGCAAAACTTACGGGTGCAATGGTCAGAAAAATCCAACGCGATTCGGACAAAAAGCCAAGGATGAAACCGCGAATCAACTAAACGAAAATGAGAGAGGAAAGCAGATTACCTGTTGTTTGGATCCAGTGTCTGCTTCGGGAGAGAATCCATGAAAAATAAAAGGCGGAAACTTTACGAGCTGCGGTTCACTTGGCTAAATATTTGAAAAGCAAACTCGTTACTGAGGGCAAAAGCGTAAATAAAGGAGACTATAGTCTTCGTAAGTAGAAAGCTTATTGATGATTATGAGCTAAGAATGTTACATTCCACCATCTTGCTGTTGGAATTTCGTAATGAATACTAATAACTCATCTAATTTCAATTTTAACTGAATAAGCAAACATTTTGTCATACATGTCAAAAAGAAATTTCCTTGTATAAAAAAAAAATTAACTATCTGCAATTTATTTTCGATTTAATTTGTCTACCTATGACACATCCGGGAATGATGAATACAACAGCAATAACAACAAAACAAAGAGTATAAACTGATGCAAAGTGTTTCTTCGTCGTTAAGTTTCCCACAGGGTTGTGTGAGATTGTCCTGAGACCTCACCGAACCGGCGATAAGGACAGCCATTGTTTCTGGTGAGTTCACCGAAGGTGATGCAACTCTCGGTTTGATTATGGCCTCTCGCGATCTTAATCTTCACGTGCTCCGGCAATCTCAGCGTGTACCGATCTTCTTCCTCCGGCTTGTTCCTCACTATCGAATGACCCGTCGAATGCGATCTCGGGAATTTCTCCGGCAAGGATCGTAACCCCTTCTTCGATTTATCGCTTCTCTGTTCAATCCGAACCTCGCCGACGACGTCGTTGTCTTCGCCGTTTTCTTGTATAACGTCGATGATGATCTCCTCGTTGCGTAACGTCTCTTCGTTCTCCGGCGCCGCCGGTGAAGACGAAGACTCCAAATCTCGCCGGCAAACTGGGCATGTTCTGTGAGACTCGAGCCAGAGATCGATGCATTCTTGGTGAAAGACATGGTAACACGTCGTGAGCAGCCTGAGCACATGCTCGTCCGAGAATTCCAACAGACAGATCGCGCACTCGAGTCCGTACTTCTCGGACCGTAGATCTTTGACGGAGGAGTACGGAAACGAGGGGAACGAGCGGATGATTTGCGGGTCGAGACCGTTGTTGACGGCGACTTCCGGCGGCCGGACAACATTCTCCGGCGGGTTGCGGTGGAGGCACCAGGCCTGCATCAGGGTTTCGAGGAAACACTTGCAGAAATAGAGGATGAAGAAGCCGATGAAGAAGAAGACGAGGAGGATGACGGTGAGGATGACAGGGAGCGGCGGGGAATCGAACGTTTGCGGCTGCGGCTGGGGATGAGGAGTGTATGGTCCTGAGGGCGGAGAAATCGACATTGAACGGAGAGGAACCGGAGAGGGTGGTTCGGTGGCCGGAGACTTTGTATCTCCGCCGCAAGGCTTCTCATGCGGAGCGAGAAAGCGAGAGAGAAGCAGAGAGGGATTGTATTTTTTATTTTATTTTTTTTTTGACTTATTGGGTGAATTTTGATGGAAGGAGAAGAAGGTCGTGTCGTGTCGTGTGCATGGAGGGAGTTTTTGAAGTCGCTTTGCTTAATTTAGAAGCTTTTAATTTTCGTGTGATGTTTTTACTTGCGTTGAACGAGTCCTTTGTGACGTTTGTCTGATCTTCATGACTCCTGATTTAGCAAATCCCATCACAACCCATATACATACATATATATATATATATATACACATATTGGAGTTATCGTTGGGATTATATTATGTACATTTATCCTTAAATTGTTTTAACCGCCGTGATTTTTTATAATTTTCTTGCATCTCTAAATACTATATATAACCTGTAAATTTTAAAAAAATATATTTATGTGTAAATTTTAGAACTGCTTACTATTATTATTTTCCTAAACTGTTTCACAGTATTTTTTAAAATTAAAGAATCTTGTTAAGACTTGATCAGTTCGGTTTGTACCAAAAAAAAGGGGGTAGGAATCCCTGTAGTTTCCCGCGCACATCGGCAAATAAAGTATATAACCTTTTGCGTTATGATTTGAGAGTAGAGGGGCCAATTTGCTATTTAGTCCAAATATGATTATCGAGGTGCAAGGGATTAGGACCCGACTCGACCCGTGTTGAGATGGGATTGACCCAGCCCGTTCCAGCTTGATCGTCGCGGCCACTGAACCGGTAAAGTCGTCCCTCGTCTGGGCCTCCGGCGAAATCATAGACATCGCTTCAGATCTCCGATCCAAGAGCGCCGTACCCTGCAAATTGTTCCCGGGTATCTTTTTTAAGCCCTGGCTTCTCGTTTCTTATGAACCTGCTTGGTTAAATCATCCTTTGGTCGATTCCCAGAATCAACCACCATAGCAAATGCCGAATTCTTTCCCATCCAAAGCTCAGCAAATTCGGAGTTGGCAGCGGCAGCGATCGGCTTCCAAAGCAACAGACTTTGTTTCCCAACAGTTCGTGTACAGTTATCGCTGTAGAGACAAAGTGATTTAAGTTGTCGGGACGTCTAACTTACTATGACCAGTGACGTGATCTTGGAACCAAGGGCTTTCAGCTAAACATGGAAGTACTCCTCTACCCACGAATTCTGCCAGATAACATAATACCATATCATTATCTAATCTGGTCACGTGACGATCACATGTCTGCCATTTTTTTTGGGGTGAATTGCACAATTCGGAAACAAAGATGAAGTCTTTTGTCATTTTCGATCGCTAAAAGATGCCTAAAACGGAGCGTGGGGTTCGAGTCGAAAAACCCACATTAAAATATGTTCATTTTTGGAAAAGACAAGAGAGATCAACTTTATTTCTAACCATTATTGCACATTTGCTAACATTTCAGGACTGTCAAATCAATCACTAATCTATATTCGAATCTCTCGATGTTTTCCAATCAATCAAACATTAAAGATAAGCTCTACTTTCTCATTTTCTTCAAAGGGACAAAACTAGATGAACTTCTCCTTCTGGATGAGACGTTTCTTTTTTTTTTTTTTTTTTTTTTTTTGTGAAGCTTATCTTATCGAAAGGATCACCAATCATAACCACTTCAAACCAAACTCTTAAAAAAGATCCAAATATCAAAACAGAAAAAAGGTGACATAATAATTTTATCATATCCAATCTACGGCTAGCTAAAATATGTGATACTTTTGTACAATAGATATTACACAATCTTTTTTCACGCGTACTACCTCCTCATTGAAAACTGCGCTCCCGCTGGAACACCAAAGGGTGTTTCCGTCATTTCGGTTGGAAGTCTCTACAGAATCTATCGGGGGAGATGGACCCGTACAGCTCCGTGGGATCCACCTTACTACTTGCCACGTGTCGGCGCAGTCTAAAGTTATTACTCACGTGCATTTTTACACGTGCCATCATCTGATTACTCCTCACTCCGTTGGTCAGTTCGGCACACCCGACGGCTCAGTGCGAAACTTTGTGCATCTCACGAGAGAGAAGAGAGACACGTGGCACGGCCTGACTGAGAGATGAAGAAAAGTGAGAACATCAGACGGTGGAGGCGCAGCTATATATAAGAGGGATCAGAATGCTTGATCATCTTTCCCTTGGAGATCGGAGAGAGGAAAGACAAGAGATTCGTCGATGAGAGCTCTTCTGATGAGGACCGGTTCGATGCCGGTTCACCAACACTTCGTCTCCGGTTCACCGAAGGCCTCCATCTCCCGCCATAACTCCGTTGGAGAATCGTTCTCCGGCAACGGCCACAGATCCGCCTCCAGGATCTCGCTCTACGTCAAGTCCTCCGATGGTCATCCGCCGACGCGCTTCGGGATACGGAGGTCCTTTTCGGAGAGTGATGTCATCAGATCGGAAAGGACGACGAGGAGTAGTGCCGGGCGCAAGCCTTCGCCGATGAGAATCGCGGAGGAGGAGGAGGAGGTCGCGGATGGGTGGGGGTCGTTGATCTCGAAAGAGAGCGCTATTCCGGCTGAAGAGATGGGGTTCCCCGGCGGTGGATCCAGTAGAGGCTCCGGTGACAGCGGCTGTAACGGAAACGCGAACAGAGGAGGCGGTTACAACGACAGGAGCAAGATTGGGGAGTATTACAGAGAAATGTTGAAATCCAACCCGAACAACGCGCTTCTGCTTATGAACTACGGCAGATTCTTGTACGAGGTACGCGGGTCAATACGCCTGTAGTGTGCTCTGATTCTAGTTAGTTGGGAGTTCTGGATTGAATTGGGGTGCGGAATTTTAGGTGGAGAAAGATGGAGAGAGAGCAGAGAAGTACTACGGGAGAGGGATACTGGAGAGTCCAGGGGACGGGGAGGCGTTATCGATGTATGGGAAGTTGATATGGGAGACGCAGAGAGATGAAGAAAGAGCCAAAGGGTACTTTGAACGAGCTGTCAATGCCTCTCCCGATGACTGGTACCTCTTTTCCTGTGATTGATCAGGTTTCTGTATGTTTGCGTATTTTATAGATCTAAAAATTTTGTGGGTGGACTTGGGGTTTTTTTGTTTTTTTGGCAGTATGGTGCTGGGATCATATGCACACTTCATGTGGGAGGTGGATGAGGAGGAGGAGGAAGTAGAAGCCATGCCAGGAGTTATGGTTCCTGCGTTTTAGGACACCGCCCTTACTACAAAACCCTGAAGGAGCTTTCACGTTTTCACTAACTCTCTTTTTGTCGTGCCCTTTGATGTAATCTTTGCCATGTAACATAAATAAACTTGTATGTGAAGAGAATACGTAGGTACCAAAAACAGTGACGCAAACTTGTTCAAATTGTATCTTTCCTAAAGATCAAATTTCAAAATGATATTATGTGGGGTCAGGTCAGTATTTACACCAAGAGACAAAGAGGAGGAGAGTCTGTCTATGTACATGGGGGGAGAAGAAACTACCAAACCGATGGAGGACCACGAGAAGGTTGGTCTGCTGATGACTTACTTCCTCCGGTGGAGTCTTCGCTGCTCTCCTTCTTCTCCTCTGTTGTATCAGTCCTCGGCCTTCCCCTTTCCGGTTCCACTTGTCTCGGTCTCGCTTCTTCTATGAAGCTCCCCACTGTGATCTAGTCCGTCAGGATGGATAAAGTCAATCACACATTCCATTCCATCATTTGACCAAGCTTCTTTGTTATTAACGAATTACCTCAACTCTTGACGCGGCTATTAGCCTTCCGGCAACGGCCCCGCCGAAAACCTGGCCATCTGGACCGGCTAGACACACACTCAACCTCCATGTCCTGTTTACATCAGTACCACTGCTTTCTCTATTCAAGAACGACCCTGACAGCGTTATGATTCGGAATATGCCCTGTTTTGAATGTGAATATCTTCAAACTTGAGCTCCTGAGTTCTAAATGCCGTGACCACACATTTGCACAAGTTACGACCAGAAAAGCAAATGTACCTCGTATGAAATGATGGAATTGATAGAAGTGGAAGTGGAGTGGCGTAAAACCACACTAGAGACAGAACCAGTTGCAGAGACAATGCAGAAGGAACGTGATCCATCCCTTGTCAAAGTCATCATCTTTGATTCTATATCCTGAAAATTCATGTCCACGAGCTTACTTTCAATACATTCAACTTTTAGGAAACCAGTTCGAGTTACGAGTGAAACTGCAACTAACTCCACAAAGATTCAACATACATTGACATTTTCTTGAAAGATTCTATTAGTCAGAGATAATCATCACGATAAATAGAACATACCTCCCCTTTCTTGACCTCAATCATCACTCCTGCTCACAGCAAAAAACAGAGCAAGATATCGAAACCCATACACATACATATACGAATATATATATATATATATATATATATGTTCAACGACACGTCTAGTTACCGCCAAGGGAATGGGAAACTCCCCCTTCCAAACTGAGGGGGACCTTCCTCGGGCGACCTCGCTTTCTCTTCGAGAGTGGCGCGGCAGCAGCGGAGGAAGACGATCCGCGGAATCCGAGGGAACTCGGCTGACTACGCGGCAGCGGAGGAGGTGGCGGAGGCGGAGGAGGAGGATGATGAGAAGGAGGAGAGGAAGGAGGAGGAAGGCGGAGGAAGTTGTAGACGTCAAAGGAGTGGATAGACATAGAAGTGTTTGTGGGGACATGATTAGGGTTTCCGCCGAGGGCCATTCCCATGGCGGAGCGCGTTAGCTGCTTCGGCGGAGGAATTCTTCTCGGGTCCATGACGCAATGGCGAAGATTTCTTCCAGCAATATCAAGATTTTTTTCTCTTCTTTTTCTTTTCTTTAATCTGATGGATGGCGAGAAAATGGAGAAATGAAAATGGAGGGAGAGAGGCGATTGCTCTCCGTTTATAAGAGAGGGAGAGAGACGAACTGAGTTCGTTACTCGTATTATTCAGTTTTTTTTTTTTCCCGAAAAGGGAGACAAAAAGAGATGAGATTTTGCTTCCAATTAGGGATTGTTCTGTAATTTTAATGATATGAAATTGTAGTTTATTTATTCGTATTACCAAAAAAGTATATTGTAATTTTTTAAATGGGTGTTGGGTTGATTTGCTGGTTGAGTTTTATAATTTCTGGATATTTGTTTGTAATTTATTTATGGCCATTGGCTTGGTTCCATGCTCCCCTAACCACCATAAACACACACATACACACACATATATATATATAATATAACGATTGGTTTGGATTTGATGCGATGTCCAACGCATACATTATTTGATATCATATCACATCACAGAATCAAAAATGAAAAAAGGGAGCATATGATCGATAAGAACATATCACGTCATTACAAACGCAAACTCAAATTTAATTAAAAAAACATTATACATATATAATTCATATTAACACATAGGTCTCTCCACTAACAAACAAATAGCACCCCAAGGGCAGATGGAAAGGGAAAAAAGTTTGAAGGCGTTCCAGAAGCAAAGAAACCAAGAAATTGTGACCCACGGCGTACCGGTCATGTGATGGAGCTATGGAGATCAGCACCTGATTTCATATGAACCCGCTTTCGTTATGTAACGAACCCACTCAACCGTGTTGTATCCACTCTTCTCCCACACCTGCCAAAACAAGTGTACAGTTCCAGTCAATGAAAGGCATCAAATTCAAGCACCCACTAATGGTCTTTCAGAGGTTCTGTAAGCACTTTCAATGGGAAACAGCCAAGAGACTTCAATACTTGAATGGCAAGTTTCGTTTTTGAAAAGGACAGTACTATTCTGAATGCTAGTTGTTGAAACCCCCCAACAATTGTATCGCCTTAACCATTTTCTATGCTCATGGTCATGGATCAGATCTACTAATTCCGTGATCAAGAAATTGAATCTATTGACTTATATAATCCACAAGTACCTTGAGAAAACGGACTCGCAAACCAGAAGCTGTGAACATGGGCACCTGGAAAGAGGAAAACTTAAAATAGTGTTAAGAATTGCCCTAATACAAACTCAGTTGGACAATGTCTTAATTTGTGTGTTTTTTTTTAAAAAAAAAAATTCTGGAATGACGATAAAAGGAGTTGAACAGTGACCTGGAATTCCATCTGAATTGGTGGTCTCGTCCAAGATTTCTTTTCTGTCATTGTTGAGATCAACTCAACTTCCGTGCTTAGAGTGGCCTCTGTTTGTCCTGGAAATTTTCTTATCCTAGAGAAAATATAAGCCAAATGGTTTAATAAGCACACATCCGAAATTCGATGACCAACAGAACTAAAGCGATGAACTTTTCTGTAATAAACTTTGAGAGGTAAGTAAAACTCACTTCCAGACCAAGCAATCGATAGCTGGATTGTACTTAGCACGTCCGGATGTCACTTGGAAATTTGTTTTTGCCGTTTGTTTTGGCACTGGAATTTTGACTACAACCCCAAGAGCGAACATTTTAGCACCAAAGACACTTTTGACCTGTAGAAAGAAACATATGACAGATCAGTGGAGAGAGAGCAGAGATCTGGGAGTCAGCTTTCAATAATTAAAAAAAAAAGCTACGTACCTTGACATTTACTTCCATGCGTGTACGACCAAGTTCCTTGATTGTTGGTAATACACGGAAAGGAAGATTAACGCCTTCTGTTATACGATACCTGAGGTACAAAACAATTCAAGAAAATTAACACATTGGGGATGTGGGGAGCATGGAGATGGAGGAAGGGTCGGGGAAGATGAAGGTTCTAGAAGTAGGGGAGAAGATGAAGAAGGTTCCGAAGAGGCTGTGGGCAGTGGGAAGAGAGGATCCGAGAAGGGCGATACACGCTCTCAAAGTCGGCGTTTCATTAACGCTCGTCTCTCTTTCGTAGCAGGAATCTCGTTCTGCATAAAACTATCAGCTGAACCTGAGATAGGTCAGGTATAATATACTGTGTGGATATTATTCTTAGAATTGATTGAAAGGATGATCATGCTTGATGAGAATACATATTAGAATGAAATACATCACACGGAAATTATCTCAAACTTACTTCATTAGCTCAAATTCACCATCTGGTGGCACAAAACTAACAGTCTTCTCTGAGTTAAATCTTGTCAGATTGACGCATTGGTGAAATGTAACATCATCCAGCTCAATAGTTTTACCACTGCAGAAAATTACATGTTCAAAGGTTAAGTTTGTCAGCACCAAATACGTAACAACGGCTATACATGGAACACTTCTACAAAATCCTACCTCTTAGCTGGACGAGATTTCATTTGTGATTCTTTCTCGAGGCCAATTTTATCATTCAACCCCAACTTCAGATCAGGCATCCCAGAAAGAAAGCACTTCATTAGAACCTTCCCAGTAACATCACACCGAAGAACGTTGCCTAGAATTGTCGTATCGTGCAAGAACAATCAAATGAAACAGCAAATAAAAATAATCAGAAAGAAATCCTCGGCAGAGAAATTATTCACCTTTAGAGGACATTAGAAGGTTCACACTTTCCACAATGTCCAGGAAAACCTGCAGTAGTGAATGAATTAAATTAGCATATAGGCACATTTAATAAATTTGGGATTAAGGCGATGTTGATGTTGATAGACACATTTAATAAAGTAAAAACCAACAAAAATCAAATCACCTCATTCTTTTTATAAACAAGGCCCTCTCTTCGCCAACCAACAGCACCTGTAACTTGTAATGTTGCATTTGGAACAGGCTTGTCTGTAGGCTGTTTCACAATTTTTACATATGAGAAGTAAGTTATTGATGAACAAGCATGACAGGCTAGACGCAATATACTGCCAGATTCTTTACGAAAAAAAATGTTTCAGTTAATTTAATTCAAGTCAGTGTATGTACATGTAAAGAGATGGAATTACCTTCGATGAAAATGGCGACCGCACACCTTCTTGAGTAATATAAAGTTTCAAAATTTCAGGGGAGAGATTTTGTGGATAGCCAAAGTCCATAATTTCTGCAATTCAATTTGCAAAAACCAACACTTGGTGAGGTAGAAGAATAAAAGTGTAACTAAAAGAATGTCTCGATTGAGAATATCTTATCCTTGAACATAAAGGGCTCACCATCCAACAATTCATAAATTAGGACAAAGTTATTTCGAATAGCATCTTCGTCAAAAGCTCCACCAAAGTATGATTTGAACAAAGCAACAGCCTGAACAAAACAGTAAATGAAATCAGATGCATATCCCAATCTGAGCCGCTATTTTCACAAATTTCTAGGTCATCTATACAAATCAAACAAAGGGGCTAAGCTCAAAACTTTAATGATCAAGTTGATTCAGTTAATAATCTAATCAGAATCCTTCAGATCCAATCTGAGCAAACTATAAAGGAATTGCAAGCTAAGACGTAAAATCGAATACCTCGACGACGAATTTGAAGGCACAAGCAACGTTAGCATTGCTGCTGACGACAATTACAATGTAGACATTGCTGATTCGCATATAGAGAAAAGAGCAACCGCCAATCTGTCGAACAGGGCAATTACCTAACTCCTTTGTCTGCATTATATGAGTCCGAAATGCATCCACCATATTTCCCCTGCAATCAAATCGATAGAAGCACAAACCCATAGAATTCAACAAATAACATCTCGTTCGTCCCAAACAAAAACCCTAAACTGTCGCAGCTAGAGGAGAAACAAAAGAACGACGACAGCTAAAGGGGAAATTTTCGCAAACCCTCAAACCAAAAAACAAAAGTGCGATTCAAGCAGATGGACAGCGAGAAAAGTAGACAGATTAAGAAAAAGTCTAACCCAACGTCATCGCGGTAGAGGCGATTGATGAGAACATCGCCACGGAGATTGAGAAAGTAGATGGCGGAAGCAGCCACCGGCATCTTTGATCCAGGCGGATCGGAACACAGATCGACACCACCTCCGAAAAATCCAACCCGGCGACAAAAAGGTGAGCGGCGATCCGAGAAAAGACGGTGGTGCGGCGAGATCGCGGTGTCGGAGACGACGAAGAAATGAACCAACGGGCGTCAAAAGGAGAGACGAAGAATGGTGAGCGAGTGGACTTTTCTTAATGGGCTGGGCTCTTGACTCTTGCAAATCCGACCCGTTTATAATATTTCTGTTTCTTAGTTTTTATTAAATAATTAATCACATTAATATTCACCGTATTAATCAAATTATCATTGGCAAATCAAACTGAAGTGTTTTTTTTTAATTTATATGCATGTTATATTTTTATTTGTATTTTTTATAAAAAAAAATAATATTTCATTTAATTTTATATTGCCTATATATCTATATATACTTATATAACTGCTTTTAGTTAAGTGTTTCAATGTCTAATATTATATTAAAATATCATTTATTTGATATTTTTATAATATAAAAAAATATTTATTTTTCGAGTCCACTAGTTTAACTCGTGAACAGAATTGAGTCGAAGTTTTTTTACTTCTTTTGAAAACAAGTATAATGAGTTGAACCCAAAACGAACCATCTCGATTTGATCCGAGCCAATCGGAAGTGAATCGTTTGACCCCTATAATTTGTTCAAACATCTACCCTGGTATCAAACTAAGGGACCTGATAAGATTGGTTTGATTCTTGTGGAAAAAAAGTTCTTAGTATTTACAGTCACATTTGTTTTGTGAGATATGCTTCCAACAATACAGTGAATTCGGATTTGTGTTACGAGGAGTCTTCAAGTGAATAACTACAATAAAGTTTTATTACAACAAGTGGGTTGGTGCCACGTGGAGTGAAGCGACAGAAAGAGGAGTGGCCTCATTGTTGGAGGTTGAGTACGGTAGACACGAGAAATCTCCATGTCCTCCCACACTCGAGGAAGAAAACACAGAGACTCTTTAATACTCTCTGAAATCGAAATTATATTATTGTAACTTTATTAGGAATTAATGGGTCATCAGAAATGGCAACAACAAGAATCTTCCTTAAATGGGAAATCAGTGATTTTTGTTTTCATTGGGTCAAATAACAAAGCTGTGTCTTTCTATTCTATGAGCTGTAAATTACACGTAGCCCGTGATCCCATTCATAGATCACTTGGTTCGATCATGACAATATGCGTGTTATATAACATCAATATCAAGACGTCCAAAATATGTAGTGGTTAACTTTAGCTGTGAAAAGTATGATTATATATTTGAATATATATATATACAGACAAACAAATGAAGGTATTGATGGAATCACTGGTCATTTCGTTTTGGTCCTTTAATATCTTCCCTATACTCTATTCATATTAGCCACATAATTCGTCTAATACACACGCGCACACACACACACACACATATATATATATATATATATATATATATATTGTAATGGACCATGCATACACACAGAGAAGATACATAATTAGACATGGGTGTGTGATATCTGTGTCCGTGTCCAATGTGTCAACGTTGGTACGGCTGTGAGGTCACCAAAGTCCTTTTCCTTTGGGGATGGAGAGAGATTGTCTCATGGCTCTGAGGCGAACCCTAATGTGATGTTTCTGTATCTCCCTTCTCATATATATAATCAATTATTTTTTCGATACTTATTTTAAAAAAATTAGAGGGAAAAAGGGTCTTGATCAATGTTTTCAGAAAATTGGATACATTGGAAGAATTTGTATCAAATGTTTTCTGTTTGATTTTCGCAGCATAAGGGACAGAATAATTGACACATTGGAGCGGTCGCAGTCCAAGCAGAAACTGCATCACCGTCACGAAAATACAAATAACAATATATGTGTGATCATTAGCTATAATTAATCACGATCATAATAATACATGATTAAATAAATCATTGAGACTAAAATGACATGTATCAGATTCGGCGTTGACATTATTTACATTTAGTTGTCCGCAGAGAGAGACTCCATCCATAAACTCATGTCCACGACATCAGATATTTGATGTTATTTTACTTAAAAAACGAGATGATAAAAATATTTTATAAGCAATCGAAAGACTTGGCTAATAAGACGACAAGGGAGTTTCCCTTGTCTTGTTCACTTAATAAATGGGGCGCAATTAACTATAGTAAAACGGTTTACCTATTTAGATCGGATGTAATTAGGTCGAAAGTTCGGTGAACCATTTTTATTAAAAAAATTGCAACTTTCATGCTTTAAAAACACTATATATATATATATATATATATATGTTATCGTTGTTTTATTTTTTTTATAGAGATGAGAGTAAAATTAATGTCGATTTCATTTTGTAATTAGTAGATTTTTTTTACCAGTGGTGAGTTTGACTTTTTTGCATCTTCTGCATCTTGTGAAGAACAATGGGAAAGCCTCTACTTTTATGCATCTAGAATAACTGCAAGTCATGTGAAACCCATCACTTTTAACATACGTCCACTAAACATTTTATGTTTTTTTTCCATACGAATATATAATTTTGTTAGTGTTACACAAAACACACGCGCACACTATATTCTCTGTAATTATAAATGTCAGATATGAAATAATAAAAAGACATGCTTTATATATACAAAAAACACCAAACCGAAAAATATTTTAGAAATTAATAATAAATATGGTGGACGACCCTCATCTGAAAATCCAAAAGGGTTCTCTCACAATTCACCCAACGCATAAATCTACCACCGTTTACTTACACCACGCGCTCACGTGTGCACACGCGCACAAACATATACACAGCCATATTTGCTCCTCCCATCCCATCTGTCTATATATAGATATGAGAACAGTACATGCATAAAACACACCTCTAAACTATATCTATTCATATATATTCTTCTCATATTCATCTCCCATCATTCGTTCCAAGATCAAAAACAAAAAAAAAAGTTGTGCCAAGAAACGTATATACATATATATATAGGAGTGGGATCAAGATGTCGAACAGGGTGCATGTGGGGAGCATGGAGATGGAGGAAGGGTCGGGGAAGATGAAGGTTCTAGAAGTAGGGGAGAAGATGAAGAAGGTTCCGAAGAGGCTGTGGGCAGTGGGAAGAGAGGATCCGAGAAGGGCGATACACGCTCTCAAAGTCGGCGTTTCATTAACGCTCGTCTCTCTTTCGTATCTAATGGAGCCTCTTTTCAAAGGCATCGGCTCCAATTCCATGTGGGCTGTCATGACCGTCGTCGTCGTCCTCGAGTTCTCTGCCGGTATTCTTTCTTTTAGTTCTATTTTGTATGTATAGCCGTACGTACATATATATATATATATATATATATGTATATGTGACACATCATGTTCATGTATGTTATAATGCAGGCGCGACACTTTGCAAAGGGCTTAACAGAGGATTAGGGACACTAATTGCGGGATCTCTTGCCTTTTTCATTGAGTTCGTCGCTAATGACTCCGGAAAGGTCTTCCGAGCCCTCTTTATCGGAACTGCTGTCTTTCTCATTGGTATGAGCTTCTTTTTTTCTTCTGATTTCTATGTATATATATTGATATATGTTACCACTTTTTTTTTTAAAAAAAAAAACAAGAAATCGAACTGAATTTAGGGTTTAGGGGAAGAAGAAAAAAAAAGGTAAAAAAGAGTAGTTATGTTCTTAATTGAAAGGGGGAGTTAGCAAGTAGTGAAGCCGAAATACGAGTGAAATGGGAATCATGTGACAACAACAACAACAAAAAAATGGTGAAAAGTTTGCGAAAATAACGGAACTAACTTAATGAAATGGCCGACCAATATTAATAAATAATAAACTAAATATTTGTTCTATATTAATTAACGTGTGAAATGTAGGGTCGTTGGCGACGTACATGAGGTTCATACCATACATAAAGAAGAACTACGAGTACGGGGTGGTGATATTCCTGTTGACATTCAATCTGATAACGGTGTCGAGTTACAGAGTGGACAGCGTCATAAAAATAGCACACGAAAGGTTCGTAACGATAGCCATAGGATGCGGGATTTGCCTCTTCATGAGCCTTCTCGTCTTCCCCATCTGGTCCGGCGAGGATCTCCACAAGTCCACCCTCTCCAAACTCTCAGGCCTTTCCCAATCCATCGAAGGTGATTAATTAATGAAACCTCCCATGCAAATACCACGATGATGTATGTTGAAAGGGTTGAATTTTTGTCGTTTATTGGACAGCATGCGTGAACGAGTACTTTGAGGACAAGGATCCAGAGGACAAAGACAAGGAACCTTCATCATCATCCGAGGACAGAATCTATCAAGGTTACAAGGCTGTTCTCGACTCCAAATCCACCGACGAAACTCTCGTATGCTCTTTCCTCTTCCTTCGTCGATTTACTCTTATATATGTATATATATAACAATATGTGTATCAAATTTGGATACGGACAGGCATTGTATGCAAGCTGGGAGCCAAGACACACGAGACAGTGCTATAGATTCCCATGGCAGCAATACGTCCAAGTCGGAGCTGTTCTTCGTCAGTTTGGTTACACTGTCGTCGCCCTTCATGGGTGCTTACAGACCGAGATTCAGGTATTTATAATATAATCATCATCATCCGGATTTTTCGGTCCAACTAGTCATTATTCAAACTAACGTGATATTAATCAAGTCTTTGTTATATATTGTGTAGACTCCGAGATCGGTTCGGGCCCTGTTCAAGGACCCATGCATAAGGTTGGCCAGAGAAGTGTGCAAAGTGTTGTCGGAACTGGCCGAAAGCATCAGAAACCACCGTCATTGCTCGCCGGAGATTCTCTCCGACCACCTCCACGTGGCGCTCCAAGACCTGAACTCGGCAATCAAGTCCCAGCCCAAGCTCTTCCTTGGCTCCAACCTCCACAACCACCGCCATCACCACCAAAACGCCGCCGTTTCAGATACCCACGGCAACAAGAACAGCTCCAAACACCAGAACGACACCAACGCCAAACAGAACAGCGCCGTTTCGCTGTCGAGCGTCAGAACGGACACGTCAGCGTTGTTGGAGTACCGGAGATCGTTCAACAAGAGGGCAAACGCGAACGCCGAAATCATAACGGAGAAGAAGATGCTTCGACCGCAGCTGAGCAAGATCGCGGTCATGACGAGCCTCGAGTTCTCGGAGGCGCTTCCGTTCGCTGCGTTCGCGTCGCTGCTCGTGGAAATGGTGGCGAGGCTCGACAACGTGATCGCCGAGGTGGAGGAGCTCGGACGCATCGCCCGTTTCAAGGAGTACGATCCGACGGCTGTGGTTATCCGATGCGAGAAGCCGCCGTCGAATCAGTCCGACGTCATGCCGCCGTGCAACCACGCGGTGGCCGGCGTCGAGTGAGGCACGCCGGAGAAGAGACGGTTCTATTAATTACAGAGGGAAAAAATGTACGTAGTGGATTTGTCTTATTATAGATTGTAGAATATGAGGGAGGTCAAGCCGGGTCGGTATGGTTGGTTTGGCTCGTGTCTCTGGTCATAATCAGATGGTAATATTCGAGGGTTCGGCAATAAAACATTATTTGTATCCTTCATGCTTCAATATTTTCGCTGACTCGAGAGATCTAATTTCCTAAAACCAATCAAATGCTAAATTAATACATTTTTTCTTTACAAAAGAAAAGGAAGAGTATGAAAAGAAAGGGCCCTACCGGGTTCGAACCGGTGACCTCTTGATCTGCAGTCAAATGCTCTACCACTGAGCTAAGGACCCCTTATTTATTATTATTATTATTGTAACCTTCCACACATATCAATCTTCATTTCATAATCTTTTCTTTTACAAAATATACTTTCTACGGATTCTTCTTCAAGCCCATACTGCTTATAATAATCTCAGCCGACGGAAGAAGCTTTTATAACTATGTATTATGGTCCCAAGAAGATAATTTTGTGCAAATAATTTTCATAATAATGATATAATTCGTTAGCCTTCCAAAGGTGCTGAGGTCTGAAAGGTTGGCTTAAAGGTGAATGGCGGTCCAATTGATTACTGTGAAGGAATATGCTATCCCCCTATCAGAAAATTGATTCAAACTCAAGATTTGCGTATGGTATCGTAATACTAGTAATACAGATAAACGTCAAAATAAGGACAGCAAATTTTGTATTGGTTCAACAGTAATACAAAACGCAGCAAATAAGAAAACTCACAAAAAAAAAACCCTAAACATAAATCCACATACCCTTTGTCCATGATGTTATCCTCCAAGATCAACGTTAAAAAGGCTTTGTCTTGGATCCCATATACCCTTTCTTCTCCATTATCGTACCAAATAAACCGACATTTTTTTAATGCCACAAGTTAAGTTCTCTTTAGTATTTCCTCTAGAAGGGCCGGGTTGATATCATTGAATGAACTTGCTTGGTCGTAACCGTTAATGTAGTGCCAATCTTCGTACCCAATATTTGTCCAGTAACCAGTTTGCACCGATTGATCATTGTTCTCTTCTTCATTTGGATGTGATGAACTGGCCGGAAAATTGGCTTTTCCCCATCGGTTATCATCAGGGCACGAGTAATCTTGTCTAGGGAAGTAGTCGAATGCAAAATCCTGAATCTGCGGGTAATCCTGAAACATAACCCGAACTAAGAGTTTGGTTCTCAAGTTCTCGTATAAACTTTAACACCCGAACCGATAAGTACGTACCTTTGATGAATCAAGGATAAAATCCGGTGAAACCCAAAAGCTAGAGGAGTCTGTTGCGGTAGAAATAGGGTTTTCCGGTGGCGTTTCTTCTGGGCGAGGAGAGGTTACGAGGCTTGAGTTACCCGAATCGATCATTTGGTCGGTCGAAGTTTTTCGAATTCTTCCGAGGTTATTACCCTTTTTCTCATTCTTCTTGACAACACGGCACAACGCAAAAACCCCCTTAAACGAGAAAATTCACGACACCCACAAAACAAAAGTTCTTACAACGGATCCAAAACATGATTGAATTTAGACATAATCATATATATGCTCGAGGAGAAGTTCTTACCGTGGATTTTTGTGATCCACGAGAAATATCATCATCGCATAGACGATATTCATGCATGATCCAATCGGTTCTTTCGCCCAGTGGGGCACGGCCCTCGTAGAAAACTAACGTTTTACGATAGCCTGAAACAGAGGAGCGGCATGTGATTTTCCGATCCTTTCCGGTTGCTTTCCAGTAACCGGCTTTTGTAGCCCTATTGGTCCGAGAACCGTTCGGATACTTCTTGTCTCTCGGACAGAAGAAGAACCATTCCATGTCCCGGTTCGGCAGAAACGACTTGTCTGAAAAATACACGCAAGGCCGTTCCAAATATGTGAAGTTAGAACCTTTCAACGGAGGAACGTTCCAAAGCATGTAATAAAATTGAAAAAGATTCCACAAGCCCAAATATTTTGCATATACCTGGTAATTCCCAAGGATCAAATCTGTATAAATCGATCTCTGGGATGACTTCGAGCTCGATCTCGAGCCCTTCAACTTTCCTTTCCAAGTAGTATCCGACGAGTTCTTCGTCGGTGGGATGAAATCGGAATCCAGGCGGTAAAGATGAACTTCCCATTTTCAGCAGAAAGTAAACAAACACTAGCTAGTTACTTGTGACACAAGAAACAAACCCTCACCCCAGCGATTATTACAGAAACAAAAAAAGGAAGAACTAATCACGTTTCGGAGCTATATCTGTTGAAGATTTGGAAGATCCAAAAGTAGAAGCTCTTCTCGACGCTCGATTTTTTATTGAGCAAAGTCTGCAACTCACCTCGATTGCATCCTTTTTGTGACAATATCATTGTCTTTGAAATTTTCTGTTTTTTTTTTGTTCAATTTACCCGAAAACCCGACAAAACTTCCCTTTTTTCTCAGTGACAAAAATAAACCGGAATCAAAGGAGGGGCGCTTGAAGAAGAATCGGGAAATTTTAATGTTGGAATTTCAAACGAAAGAAAAACAAGAAATTCTTGAGGTCAAAGCCTTCGAATGAGGAAAAAGGTTTTTATGACTTTGCAAGGACGTTGGCGAAGGAGGAGATTAATTAAGAACTAAACGTGATTAAGGGGTAATTAATTGAGAGGGGGCGGGGGTGTTGAGAGGAGAGAAGGAAGGTTGGTAGAGTAGTCGGAGGCTGTGAATTGCGTCGTATATATAGCACACTCGAAAGTAGATTTCCATGAGGAAAAGCCAACGCCCGAATCAACAAAAACTAATAATAAACTATCTACTAATTTTATTATAATGTTTTTTTGTTATATATATATATATATCGGGAAGAAAATAACAAGACAACCGAAAGTAATGATGACGTTGCTTGTCTCAAGGGTTCCAAAAATTCCAAAAGAAATTGGACCCACTTGGACTCCAAAGCTCATGAGCTTGTTCACACTATAACCCATCCCGAATCAAATTTGTAATATAGTAAACATTTTATTTTTTTTTAATAGAATCATGGTTTTGTTTTTAGGTATCAATATATCACGTGTTGAACATTCACACACCATGAGCGTGTGAAAGTATGTACAACATGAATTCCAAAACACCCTTAGAAATCGAATTCCGAGTCAAATTCCAGATTACGTTGTGATATATATTTTGTAAAACAATGTTTAAATCCACGTCAGCATGCGTCGGACAAAAGCACTTTTATTGAAGCAACTTTGAGAAGTCACGAGAAGTGATCGTTTCGTCGGAACAGCAAGTGGGACCGCAGCTGCCCTATTCCGAAAACTATTTCTTTAATAATAATACCAATAATAAAAATAAAAAACTGTCATTTTTTCCTGCTTTAATTTGTTCGTCTTTTTAGAACACGACCAAACAGCCCCTTTGAACGTTTTTTTAAGCACTAAAATATTCAAAAAAACTTGTCATGCTCCTTTTTTTCAAAATAATTGGCTTTTTAATAATATAAAAAATTGCATCACCTAGTTTAGTTCCCACTCGTGTATTTCTCTCATATATATATGTGAGGAATAAATCGTGTATGTGATGATTATTGAAATTTTAATTTTTTAACAAGAGTGAAGAAATATCGACGTTTTTTTTAATTATTTTATTTGCATTGGATTAATATTAAAAGTACAGTAAGTAGAGAAGGGGTCATCGTTGGCATTGAATTTTAGCTTTTTTAAATACATGATACGAAAATAACACATGTCTTATTTAATTAATATATAACAAATTTATCAATTTATTTCCAATATAGGATAATAGAATTTATAAACTTAGCTGATAAAATGAAAGAAGCTAACTGTCGACAAAGATACAAGCTTAGAAATGTATATACAAAAAAAATTGGCGATCATCTTCCACGGACTAGGGTAATTATAAAACGGGTTTGGGAATATGTTCCAAATATATTGTCATTTTCTCAAGTCCATAAAAGATTATACGGAGCATCATTACACACACACATATACATATATATATATATATATATATATATCCAATTTTAATAGTGCTGAATTTGATTCTAAATTGTTTATTGAATTTGTAGCAGTTCTGAGATTTGTTCCAAGATTAAATTTATTTCATTGTTGCTTTAATTGGATAAAATTGGTGTAAAATGGGAGTTACGGGGACTTTTGGGAAAATGAGAAGACTTGCCTTTTCACACTTTGGCCCCCACCTTTCTTATTCTTCTTTCTTTCGGCTCCCTTCTTTTTATCTGTATCTTAACCAACGAAGAGCCACATTGTTTTTTTCTCCAAAAATTTATAGTTATATATATATATATATATATATATTTTTAATAATCGAGTGATCCCAAACCCAAAGGTCTAGACTAATCCCGATCCACACGCACGGTCATACAACACACACGTGGGATGTGAAACATCCGAAGGTGGCAAGAGGAGAATCTCCATACTCTGGATGTTGAACTCATGATCTCGTTTATAGGAAGGGGTTCTCAAACCAACAGAGATGGTGGATTCCAATATAGTTATATATATAAAACTAACCACCGCGCATATGATTTAAGTTTCTCTAACCAATATGGATTGAAGTGTACATACACTTTCGACAACATTAGTGAGTGTGATTTTCACATATTTGACTATTTAAGTTAAAGATAATATTTTTTTGTTTTAGAAAAATGTTTTATAAATGTCATTTTTTTGCTCGGTAATTATTACGTACCACTCCCCATGATGAGTGAAAATTGCAAATAAGACAAGAAAAGTTAATGATTATATAATACATTAAATTGAATAACATATTTACCATTTGTCACTGTATTGCAGATATTCTAAACCACCTAAAGGTATGGAGATTGTGCAAATCAACAAAACACAAAAATGATCCGACTTAGAAATTAAGTATATTTAATATGTGCATAATTCTCCAACTACAACATGCAAAAGATAGCTTTGACTTAGAAATTTAAAAGTAATTACAGTAATAATATATTTTTTTGTTGGATTTTACAGTAATAATGTTATGCTTACATATGTATATGTTTAATATGTGATATGGAAATGATCTACATGTGCTTGGTCCAACAATATCTGCTTTAGTGGTTGGAACATCTATCAACATGATCCAATGTCTTCTCGGACCCTGAATTAGAGAACCGAGGAGATAGACAAGTCTTCAACGTCTTTTGGAAATTAAGTATATTTAATATGTGCATAATTCTCACCGCTAGACCACCTAAACATGAGTGTTGGGCCCTAAGGCCCATTGGCGGAGAAATAGAACCTTCCCTTTCGGAAGGAGGTTTCGGGTTTTAACCTGAAACGCAGCGTTTCATCCCGAGGGTTAATGAAACCCTAATACGCGTGAAGACGAAAGTGTGGCGCGTGGCTCGAGGAGAAGTTTCGAGAGAGAGGAGATCGCAGAGGCGATCGTGAGGGAGAAACGGGCGTCGTCTCGCAAAGGCGAGCGAGGTAAGTGTCGGTGAGTGTCTTGTACCGTCTCTCGTGGCGTTTCTCTGTGTTTCTCGGTGAGCCTCCAACCTTGGTGTGGACGGCCGCCGTGTTTCTCTCTTCTCCGCTGTTTCTTCGTTCTTCTAGTGGATTCGCCGGCACCGTCCGGCCGAGATGTAGGTCCGAGGAAACTCGGTAACCGAACTCGTTAAAACTCCGGTGTCGTTTCTTCTTCTTGCACGAACGAGCGTCGGAGTGGCCGTGAGAACTCGATACCGACTTCACAAAGTGGTATCAGAGCTCCGGTTACGATCCAGGGAGTATCGCCGGTCAGGCGAGGTAAGTTAGGGTTTTCTGGTTTCGGTCCTTTTTTCTTTAGAGTCGAGTCTGTGTGAACGATTTAACCTTCTATCGAGTGTGCAAGGCGCAAGATCGAAGCGAGATCGGCGCCCGTACGGAGAGATCTGAAGGTTTCTGGAGTCGGCAATGACAAAGATCGGTGAGCTGAAGCCTCTGTGGAGTCGACTCGGCCAAGACTTGTTTCGGAATCGGAAACCAGGTGAGTCCTTCGACTCGGTTCTTTATTTTCCGCGTTTTTTCCTCCGATTTGAGTCCGAGTTTCAAAGAAACTCGGTGAACTCGGCGGAGGAATGCTCGATTCCGGCGAAACTCGACCCCTGACTCGTCCGAGTTAGGGTTGAGTGGAGGAATCGGGTGTGTCAACGTCCGAGTCAACTCGGCAGACTCGGCGGCTAGGGTTTCCGAAATTAGGGTTTCGAATTAAATCCGGTTCAGACCGGTTTAATCGATCCAATTTCGGTTAAACCCGATTTGGGTCAATCGAACCTGGTTCGATTCGATCCAAGTTCGGTTATCGGCGGTCAGATCGGGTTCAACCCGGTTTCGTCGTCTCAGACCGGATTACGGCCGGTTTAGTCCGGCTCAGACCCGGTCCCGACCGGTTCAGACCGGTTCACTCCGGTTCGATCAATTCGTTGACCAATTTGGTCAACAGTTGACCGGTTTAGGTCAAATCGGACCGGTTCAGGTCCGGTTTGGGGTCAATTGGACCGATTTAGACCGGTTCAGGTCAATCTAGGTCCGGTTTAGGACAATTGAGTCCGGTTTAGGTCAATTCAGGTCCGGTTTAGGTCAATTGAGTCCAATTTAGAGCAATTCAGACTAATTTAGGCTGGTTTAGGTCTTGGTTAGGGTCTGATTTGTCTGGGAAATGCTAGAATTGTTCGGTTCAGACCAATAGGGTTTGATTGGAGGGGAATTAAGGCCGGTTTAGACTGGTTTAGGTCTAATGTTTGGGTCTGTTCGTCCAATTAGGCTAGAATTAGACCGTATAGGTCAATTGGGTCCGGTATTTGATAAGATCAGATTGGTTTTAGGCTGGTAGAGGTCTGTTTATGATCTGATTTATCTGATTAGGGCTTGTATTGGTCGGGTTAGGATCTGATTTTGTGTTTTAGGACTAGATTGAGTCAATTTTAAGGTCTGGAGTGTGTAATTAGGACTAGAACTAACTGGTTTAGGGTTAGGTTGGTCCATATAGGTCTGATGGTGTCTGGTTTAGGGCATAGTGGACTGGTTTAGGGTAGATTAGGGTCTGTAGTGATCGGTTTACCCTGCTAGGTTGGTCTAGTACTTAATTTGGCTTGGTTTAGTGAAAATTCACTAGGA